AAAAAAAATGGAAGCATATAGTTGCCCAAAAGTGTACCCAATGACAGACAAAATTATCTTGTTGTCACTTGACGTCTTTTTATGCAGGGTTCACATTTTGAATCCATCGGAAACAATCGATAATCACACACATTCCTTCCGACAATTACGAAGCTCGTGTATGCGCTATATATCTTTCGGCATTGTTTTTCACGCGTAAATGCCGCACATGCTTGCATTTATATAAATCACACAGCAAAAACAAAAAGTCTTCTAGACACATACATACGCACGAGATCCTTTTTATTTTTGAATGATTATTTCCCATTATTGGTCTCTTCCTCAAAGTTCTTACAAGGCGCTTTGTTGTAGACGCTCTTTGAAGTTCATTTTAGTGGGCCAAGTAAAAAGGTATGTTAGCATTCTATAGTTCTAAAGGTTTTAGCATTCTGGGATCTGGAGGGTTGGGGATAGAAAACCTACACCTTCTTGTGGCTGTTCCTGTAAGTAAAAGCTTACTGCTTTGAGACTAAGAGAGACTACACTTTAGTTAATATTTTTTAATAATAATAAAACTTTATTAAATATGTTATAGTGTGGAATGGATTAATAAAGTGAGATTTATGAACTATGATAAAATGATTGAGGTATTCTTGGAGCAAGAAAGGAATTTGAACCTTGGCGTCTTTAAAACACATAAAATGGAACTTCCCTTTGGGATATGCATTCTTATGAGTTCCATATCCCAGCCTATACAAGCATGTTGTCATTTGTTATAGCATTTCTACTTTTTACTTAGCCATCATCAGAAATTCAATTGTGGTTAATTGGTTTACTTTGGCCGGATTCTTCTCAACTAACGCAAAGACCATGTTATTTCAGCTTTGTTATTATTTGAAATGGTCAATTAAGTCGACAGCTTGCGATTGTTATTCTTCAAAAAAGAAGAGCTGAATATTATTAAAATAAGACGCGTGTGAGTTTCATAGGGAATATTAATGTTGTCAACATGATTGTTTATTAATGCTTTACTATATTTATAAGTTATTCTTATAAAACATGTCTGAGCATATCTCTCATGATCTTTGGAAGCTTTACAAGTCTATCATTCATATATTTATCATCAGCGATTCTCTCTTACTTTGCAGGAACCTAATTCATCCGTTCCACTTTTACAAAGAATATCTCGGGTTGTCTGACTGTAGATGATGGTTTAACTATCAGAATGACTGATTCGGTTTAAAATGTGTTGGTTAAAGACTGTGTAGATTGGATGAAGCACTCTTATTCGATAGATGCCTGGCCCTTGAAGCCGATGCTTCAATTATAAAAAGTAAAATTATAAACCGCAAAATATAAAATCACAGTCCGCAAACTTTGAGGAAAAAGCCAATATGTCATTTTATCCTTTTATATTACAGTAAATCGTTGTTTCATATTGGCTGACCAAAAAAATACCAAGAAAGGAAAGAGGTGGCTAAAGAATTAAACACATCTTCATTTAAAAATGGAACGCGCACTAAAGAAACGTCATTATAAAAAAATTTTTTTTTCTTGCGGTGCAACTTGAAGAGAGGGTCTATAAATATAATTTTTTTTTTTGCTGCACAAATAGCAACCATATCCATTGTTGTTAATGTAGGACACATGTGTAATTCTATAGTTTCCACTTTGTATCACCCTTTTGCTTCTATTGTCCGGATTGGTTATCCCGATGCATCCTAATATTTTTTACTTTTTTTTTTTTTTTTTCTTCTTTCTTCTCTTTTTCTCCCTTTTTACAAAAAAAATGGGGAATCAAACAAGTAAAGTGATTGAGAAATCAAGAGAAAGGAAAGAAAGAAGAAAGACAAGAAGGCGAAGTACAATCACACTCGGTGGACGATCTCACTCATCATTGGTGATGAAAGGGGGAACAATGTCTGGAAATTATGATTGGATTGATGAAAGACAGGAAAGTCAACCAAAATCAAGGCGTCAATCAATTACAGAATTTTTTGTGGGACGAAAGAAAAGTCTGGTTCAAGAGGATTTTAAAGAATTTGATAGACTTCAAAGACAGGTAATAAAAAGATAGTTATTATTCACCAGTCATTGACAATGTCGATAGCATTATTTATTGAAAAGCGCAAGAAAAGCAAATACATGTCATCAATTGAAAGATCCGGGAGTAATACTAGACGTTGGTACTGGAAATGGTATCTGGGCACTTGAAATGGCAGCAGAACACTGTCAAACCAAGGTTATCGGGCTAGACATTAGACCGCCTAGTGAACAACAAGGAAAGCCAAAAAATTTGATCTACAAGGAAGCAGATATTATGCAAACATGGCCGATTGAATCTAATTCGGTTGACTTGTAAGTTTTTGATGTTAATGTTGACACTTTGCTAATACTCAATAGTGTATTTCAACGTAATATGGGTCAAATCATCTTGAAAGATCAATGGACTCATGTCCTAAGTGAAATGTATCGTGTTCTTAAGCCTGGAGGTGTGATTGAACTTGTCGAAGCTGATCTCTGGCATCATAATCCTGGGCCTGTTCAAAAAGCATTTGACGAATTCTCTCAGACACAATGCAATGAATTAGGCTTGGACTTTAGATTCACTGAAACTCTAAGTGAACAATTAGACACAATTGGCTTTAAGGAATTAGATAAATGTACTATAGATATACCCATTGGAGAGTGGCCACAGGATCCAGGTAAAAACTAAAGGATTTGGCAAGCTGTGGTATTTTTAGTGGAGATTGGGCTCTTGTCAGCGCAAACGATCCAAAAAAGTCCAGATTGTGCAAAATATATGGAGCGGATGATATTCTAGAGGAAGGGTAATAAAAAAAAAAAAAGATATATGTAAAATAAATATCAACCTTCTCAATATACAGAATTGAAACAATTTGGATTTATCAACAAGGAAATTCAAAAGGCATTTTTAAGGAATAGAAAAAGTATTTATATATCCAAATGGAATGTGACACCTGATGATTATGACTTGGCTGTGCAGGAGTTGATGGCTGAATTTGAAGACTATCGTGGATTTACACGGTTCAATTGTTGGACAGCTAAAAAGATTTGAAATATGCACCTTATGTAATTTATATATTTATATGCTATAGAGAGAATATTAATAATATGCAATATATGAAAATGTATATGCCTACACAACATTTTATAATATAAAAAATGAGATAGAGACAAAAAGAAGAAAAAGATTTTATATATAAATAAAATAAAAATTAGACATTATTATATAATACAAGACAACGTAAAGGGAAAGGAAAGGGATAGGGGGATGTATAATGTATGTATGTTTTTAAGAATAAGGAGAGGACCTTGAGTTATAATGACGAGATGGTCGATGTTGCTATTCATTACATAAATACACGATTCATTTCATTTCTTATTGTGTCTTACCGTATATGGATGAGGATTATATCTTGGACGTGAATAAAAATAATTCGACCTCTCTGAAGGTGGGCCCCATCGAGTCGTCTTTTCTTCTTGTTCTTGCATTTTCTCTTGTTCTTGTATTTTCTCTTGTTCTTGTTTCTTTTTTATTTGTTCTTGCAACATCATTTGTTTAATTAGCTGAAACAGTCTATGCTTTTCATCTTTCAATGTTTGAATCTTGGCTTTAATTTCATCACAGGTCATTTTAAATTCTTTTTCTCTTTCCTCTGTTTCTTCTTCTTCTTCTTCAACAAAAGGCTTCTTCTCTTCAACAGGTGGGGAAGGTAAACCACCAATATGTTCTATAGGTGGTGATGTCTGTTTGGGCAATTGCTTTTGTTTGCATCGATCAATGATAACAGACTTGATTGCGTCTAATCTTTGAGTAGGTTGAAAATGATAGACGACATTTTCTTTTTTAATATCTTCTTTATAATCAAATATGGTGTCTTTCATTTATAAAAGTGTTTATGTAAAAGAAGAGAAAAAGAAGTGAAAAGGAAAGAAATTTTATATATAAAAAAAAAAAAAACTTTTATTCGTTGAGTTTTATAGACTATTTTGAGTCACTCTAAACTTACCTTCTACTAAAAAAAAAAATAAAGTTTATTCCATCCTGGCTTATATGCATGTCAAATAAAACAAACGAGAAAGAAGACGGTCCCCCCTTCTAGTCATCCAAGTGCGGTTAATAAAAAAAAAAAGATTTTTAGGTCACTCTACAAGTGCTGTGCATAAAGAAAGAAATGAAAAAAAAATAGAGACTTGGCTTTTTTAAAAAAAAAAAATAATAATAACCGCGCAGCAAAATTATTTCCCTTACCTCTTTTTTCTTTTATTTCTTAATGTCGACTCAAGTGCTTTCTCTTTATCGTCAATTCCTTCGTCATGGCAAAAAGTTTGCTTCTTATAACTTTAGGGATTACACCATTCGCCGTTCAAAAGATGGATTTCGTGCCAACATGAATGAAACAAATCCTGAAAAGATTACTGCCTTGCTCGAAAAAGCTAAACATGACTTGGATGTAGTGAAACGTCAAGCTGCGATCAGTCAAATGTATACTAGAGGTGAACACTTGGTTGTTGAAATACCTCGTAGAGCTTAAATACCTAAATAAATAAATATCATTTTACCACACACATACACATATTGTCATGAATGTATATTTGAGATAAAAAAATCAATGGTGCAACATGTCCATTCAGCGACCTTATCTACCTCAAATGCAGGCCAGCCATTGTGGGAAAAAAAGGACACCGTTCGTTGGATAAAAAAAAAGATTGCTATAAAAGGAAATAAGTTAAGTGTGAGTCACAATGGGCAAGCAACAGAAAAAGTTACACAAGATAACTAGGTTGAAAAAAAAGCTTTATTATAAAGTCAACCAACAAAGGAAAAAAAGACGAATTAAATAAAAGATGCAAAGAGAGAGAGAGAAAAAGAGAAAAAATAGCAAGCAAAAGGCTAACCAATGAGTGATCTTTTAATAAAAAGAAAAGCAAGAAAAAGATCAGTGGATAAGTGTAGATGCCGTTTAAAACGCCGAATAAAGATAATACCTATAAATCAGTCAAATTTCTACATCCACTTCTGTTCCTTTTCTTTTTCATTTTGATTTTCAATCATGTGTGGTATTTTTGCCGTATACAACTATCAAGGTGACGCCGAAGCCTATCGTCAACGTGCTTTATATCTTTCAAAAAAGTAAGTTCAATGAGTAGAACAAGAGATGATATTAACTCTGATAAATAGGATCAGACACCGTGGTCCTGATTGGTCTGGCTGTGTGATTGCAAACAACCACATCTTTTCTCATGAACGTCTTGCTATTGTCGGCCTCAGTAAGTTTTGCTTTTTTAAAAAAAACAAATAGCTTATTCTCTTTAAAGGCTCTGGTGCTCAACCCATCGTCAGCGAAGACGGCAACTTGATCCTCTGTGTTAACGGTGAGATCTATAACCACAAGCAATTAAGAAACCAATTAAAGGAAGATTATGATTTCAAGACTGAATCTGACTGTGAAGTTATTATGCACGGTGTAAGTGTTTGGATCTTCATCACGTTCTGACTCTAAACATATCTATTATATAGTACAAGGAATTAGACAAAGATATTGTTCAACACCTGGACGGTATGTTCTCTTTTGTTCTCTTGGACAAGACTCGTAACCGTATTATCGCTGCTCGTGATCCTATCGGTATCACTACCCTTTACTACGGCTGGAACTCCAAGATGCCTGGTACTGTCTATTTTGCCTCTGAACTCAAATCATTGAACGAAGACTGCGATAAGATCCTGGCTTTCCCTCCTGGTCATATCTATGACTCCGACACCCAAGAGACCACTCGTTGGTTCAACCCTAGCTGGTGGAATGGCGACCGTGTGCCTACGAACCCTGTCAACTATACAGTGTTGAGAGAAGCCCTCGAAAAGGCTGTCCGTAAGAGATTGATGGCTGAAGTACCTTATGGTGTTCTTTTGTCTGGTGGTCTTGATTCCAGTTTGATTGCTTCTATTGCTGCTCGTGAAACTGAGAAGATCGCTGCTGGTTACAGAGGATCTGACAGTGACGTTGAAAACTTTGATGAAAGTAAGTTTTAAAAAAGTATGACAGTGACTTCTTACTTAACCATTCACCAGGTGGTCCTCGTTTATGGCCTCGACTCCACTCATTCTCTATTGGTCTCCCGGGGTCCCCCGACTTGATCGCCGCTCGTGAAGTCGCTAAACATTTGAAGACAGTTCACCACGAATACACATTCACGATCCAAGAAGCCCTGGACGCTGTGAGCGATGTGATTTATCATTTGGAAACCTACGACGTCACAACCATCCGTGCCTCAACCCCCATGTACCTCTTGTCTCGTAAGATCAAGGCTATGGGCGTCAAGATGGTCTTGTCCGGTGAAGGTGCCGATGAAGTCTTTGGCGGTTACCTCTACTTCAACAATGCACCCGACAAGGAATCCTTCCATGCTGAAACAGTCACACGTGTCAAGAACTTGCATACTGCCGATTGTCTTCGTGCCAACAAATCTACCATGGCCTGGGGTGTCGAAGCCCGTGTGCCCTTCTTGGACAAGCAATTCCTGGAGGTCTCTATGAACATTGACCCTGCCGAAAAATTACATGACCGTAGCAAGGGACGCATGGAGAAGTATATCCTGAGAAAGGCATTTGACACCTCTGACGAGCCCAACGCAAAGCCTTACTTGCCTAGCGAGATTCTCTGGCGTCAAAAGGAACAGTTCTCAGACGGTGTTGGATACAGCTGGATTGATACCCTCAAACAAGTCAGTGAGAACAAGGTCTCAGATGATGAATTCTCTCAAGCCTCTGCTCGCTGGACCAAGGACGTGCCTACGACCAAGGAAGCTTACATGTACAGAGTCATGTTTGAACAATGGTATCCTCAAGAAGCATGTACAGCTTCTGTCGTCAGATGGATTCCTAGAGGCGATTGGGGTTGTCCTGAGGACCCTTCAGGTCGTGCTCAAAAGGTCCATGATGCTGCTTATATCAAGAAATAGACACTGTACATTATTGCAACCATACATATAGAATGAGAGAAATAAAAAAAAGCTTTACACACATTTATTTTTTTTAAGATAGTAATGAAGGCAATGAATTTGTATTATTATTGTTGTTGTTATAATTTGAAGAGGGTAATGCAGAAATAGGAGGTAAACGATTTATAAATGCAGTAGAGTCTTTGGGTGGAGGGGATCTAGCTAAGGACAGTAAGGATCTTGCCACTTGATGTTCTTTGTCTTTGGTGTCTTGATGTAACGAACAATGAACACAGGATTGACCGTTCGGTATAGGATTGGCCAGGGCACGGTCAATGTCCTCTAACATGGACGTAGTCTCAGATAGCAAGCTGGACAGTCTACTGACCTCTCTTTGCAAGTAACTTCGGTATTCTTTTTGTGATTCGATTGTATTTGAACAAACGTGTAAATCCAATTTTTTATAATGCATAGAAGAAGAATGATGATGGCTCGGCGGGTACAGTGGTGGTAAGACGATAGGTTGGATAGAAGGTGATGGACTGTTGGTTTGAGAAGATGATGATGACGGTGATGGAGGAGGCATGAGTTCTGAATCACTTTCTGCTTGTTGTTGTTGCTGTTGTTGATGATGATGTTCATTTGATTTTCTTCTTGTACGTTTTTCAGTCGCACTATTATTACTATTTGAAGAGCAACGCTTTCTCCTTTTGATCACTGTTCTCATCATCGTGGCTGGCCTGTGCACCAGATGTAATTTATAATAAAGCCCACATGCATTGCATATCGTTCTTCCACTCGTATCTCTTCTCCACAAGGGTGTCGTCGTCGTTTCACAATTAGCACATATCGTCACACCTTGATGATGGTCTTCTGCCTTTTTATCTTCCTCAGGTGTCCACGCTGTTAATTCTTGTTCTTTTCTATCAAACATGGTCATCTTTTTAGGAAAAACGAAGGAGGGATTGTTTATTTTATGTCAAAAGGTTGAAGAAAAAAAAAAAAGTTCAAGAAAGAAAGAAAAGAAAAAAGAGGGAGGAGATAAAGAAAACGAAAGAGAAGTTCTAAAAAATTAATCGCGCCATTTTAATTCAAGATAAAGCTGATAAAATGATAAACGTTAAATAAATCTTTTACCAATGAAATCTATTCCATCAAAGTTCTCACGTTAGATTCCTCTCAAGTAAGGAGAAGAAATTTCAAAAAGGGGAAAAGGGGAACGATATTGCTATGGGTCTGCTGCCATGGTGTTTTCAATTTGATCGTTGTTTCCATAGTAATAAAAAATTTTATTTTAGAAACACAGCTCAGATCGAAACATATTCAAGACACATTTATAGTTTATGAATGTTCCGATTTACCCACACATAAAAACAAAGCTTACAGTAAAAGGATCAAATAGCCATCATTCTGTCAATAAACTTTATCTTTTTTTTTCCTCCCTAGTGGCGTTCATCTTGAGATTTTATTCCCCTTTCTCTTTTTATCTGTTTCTTTCATAATCAATTAGATAATCATCTCATAAATAAACACATGTGCTTCATCTTTTGATAGATTAATTGCATGCACCCTTCTTATTTTTGTTATATTGTTTTGTTGATTCATTGGTTTCTTTTTAGGAGGAGCGGCTCTTTGTTGACACATTGTTTTTTCGCTGTCAAACTTTTCCATGTCTTTCCGTGAGGAAGACAGCTAAATTACAAGTTGGCTGTTCAAGAGAATTAGTGCAATCGTGTCCTCCCTTTTTTTTTTTGTAAAAAAAAAAAAGAGATATTCAAGCTTTTGAAATGTTGAAGAATCAAGTCAAAGATTTTCAAAGATTTTCTAAGCAATTCTACAATCAGCTTACTCTTTAAGGATTACGTACATAGAGCTTCAAAGGGCGCTTTCCCTTGGCTACACACAGAGTGTAAAAGAGAAAAAAGCGAAAAAGCGAGAGTCTTTTTGTGTGTGTGTGTGTGGTATCAAATGTAGACGTTGTGCTAATTTAGAGTCTGTGTCAACGTCTCAGACTGCTAAAGACGCTCTGTTGGAATTTCTACCGTTTCAAATGGAAGCATTATTTGAACTCAGACAAGAGGCATCCCATCCAATCAAATTGAAACTTTCTTAAATTCATTTTAAGCGTGAGACTCTTCAATGTCGCCCCTCTCGTGTCGGCCCTTAGAATTTTGTAGGGTGAAACCCAAGCGTCGTTCTATGAGTTTCTGTCATCTTACGTAATAACTTTGTGAAAGGCTAATGACCCTTAGTGACAGTCGTCTGATCCCTACTGAATTTGAAGGGCTGCAAGTCGAAATTTTAACTTGGGGACTTATTCCTTGTTTGATGTACTTTAATCAATTTTATCAATCAGAATGTAAACTCGAACTATAATACAGATCAATGAAAGTATCTATGCTAAAAATGAGGGACAAATTTCAGGTGATGACATATTATAAAAGGTTTATTCAGAGTGACATTCGAACTCATTGTCAGATGAGAACCTCAATTTTGAATTTCACACAAATGATTGTTTTTCGAGAATGGTACTTACTTTGCAATAGATGCAACAGTTGTCATTATTGAAAGCGTCAACCCTTTAAAATATGGCAATACCTTCTGTTTGGTATACTATCCACCTTTATTTGCTCTGTCCGCTTCCATATCGTTGCCTTTTTTGATGTCTTTTTTGTTGTTCCTGTTTATTGGGTTCTTTCCCTCTAAAGAATTTTCGAATGCGATGAATTGAAATGAGCGATGTAATTAGCATATGTATAAACCAAGAAGATCAATAATTAATTCAGGATATTTTATGCAGCACACTGTAATACAGGCTATTAGCATAATGTCGCTCTCTATCTGCAGGCATTAACAAATTATAATAAGCTATTTCAATACTCCTCTAAAGTGAAAACCAGCGTGAATATAATAAACAGGTAAAATCTGGCTGAGTATATTGTTTTTTATGTGCTGCTTCATGACTCATGTTTGAATTTCCGAATACCTTATCTTTTTCCTTATTCTTTAAATACGTATCTCCGTCCTATTCCCAATTAGCTGCTATGTCTGTGAGGCATAGCCGCATTTTATGCGGAATATCAACACCAAATAGAATATCAAAGTCAATGGGTAAGTTACTTGGCCCAGTAGGAGCTATCTCAACTACTTCCGCAAAAGTAATACCAGCCAACGTGGTTTGCCAATAATAAAGTAAGAGATGAAGGCTAATAGTAGGATAAAAGACAAAAAGAATAATAAAGTCAATGGGACTGAAATATACGATAATCTTTATATACAATGAATAAACAAAGATATTCATTTATTCATCATCATACAAGAAGCATGGGAAGGGCCACAAGACTAAGAGTGAGCTTGTCCAGACAGTGATTGTTGAATGGCTAAGCCTTGATATGTACTACAGGAGCATTGACGTTCGGTTGAAGTAGCGTAACCGCGCTTCAGAAGCTAGGTGAAAGAAAGCTCACATATGATAAGATATATGCAGAATAAGCTATAGCTGCAGAGCGATATCTACGAATGCTTAGTAACAATGCTGCCGTGATCATTTAAAAAGGAAAGAAAGTGGACCGCGTTAAATTGAGCGTGAGCTACACAGCTAAAAGTGAACTGCCCTTTGCTAAAAATGGAATAAATGAACCGCATAGTGAACTGCCCTTGGTTAAAAGTGTGTGATAAACCAAGTCTTAACAAGGTGCAAAAAATACATGGAATAAGGAGCTCTACTGATGCTTTTCGAGACACAGGGCACATTTTAGGGAGAACTTCTGTTGAATGCGTATTGCTCATTAGATAGTTCATGATATATAGATGGTGATTAAACTACGGATGTTGAGAATAACATGACCTCACGTAGAGTTGTATTATATAAAAATTTTATCTGATGAAAAAGTAGTTTGTTAATTCATTCAGCTCATCATCGCTGTGCCTGACCAGTTGTTAATGATAGAGCTGAAGCCTTAGCAGTGAGGAAGGGTACTGATCTGAGAATCCTTTGTAAATCTATGTGAATGTTTATATTGTCATAAAGGAATGAAGGCTCTAGTATATCATCAATTTACCTTTATATCTCAATCCAGATTAATGTCAATCATTGGATTTATTTCAGCCAGTGCTTTTAATACAATAGAATTATTCAAAAAGTATGACTGTAACGGCGTATAGCCTACCAAGTAATCGCCTGTGCAGTATATTAATTCACAGCCCTATTGTTCTTTGGAAAACATGCTATTAAACAGCTGATTTGAACAAATATAAATATTTCAGTTTATTATTCTAATGTAACACCTTTATTTTATCATAAGAATTGCACCATTAGCTGAAAAAGATACTAGAAGCCTGGGCCTCTTCTATTTTCCATTCGAATAATAAATCTACGCTATCATTACATAAATAATGGCTAGGTCATGAGTGAACCTTGCCCTTTCTTATTACCAATAAATTACATCACTGGTCATGCCTATCACTCAAGGTACGCGAGTATCATGACAGTATAGTCATTTTATTCAAGTATGTCGCGTATCTTAGCAACCCATCCTGTTTCGAGCGCTATTTGAAATAGCTCATGGAGACTTTGAAGACCTATTGCTTTACTATAAAAATGAACGTATAATCATTAAATCTATCACAATCACAATCGTTGTTGACGTCTGTCTACATTTTACAAGCATAAGGGAAAGAATAGGGATATAATAACAAGAAATGGAGGATAAACATTTACCTTTTACCTTTTTTCATGTGCAATAAAACTATAATTTCTTATGTTTTCCTAAGTCAGTAATTTAATAATCTACGTTTCATGTTTAATAACCAGATTTTGGTACATGAGGGTTAAGGTAAGTTGTTTTTGATTCTTCCTAGAAAATAGCAGAAAAACGGATTATATTACATACATGTCCTCCATCAAAAATTTTAGCATATTTTATAAGAGCCCCCTATTTCTTTCAATAATGGGTGTTGATCTATAGATGACTATTACATAACAGCATCTTTCTCTTTCTTTTTCTATTCCTTAAACACGCTATTTACAAGCAGATACTAAAGGTATATGAAAAACAAACAAAGGACAATGTCTAGATTCTTTTGATAACTATCACGTATGTTCTACAGAATTGACAGATTAGTGCGTTTTGAAGAAAAGCTTTATTTTTTGTTTACTATCAGTTTTACTTTTAAGGATGTCGTCCCTTTTCAGCTTTTGTTCTTGTACTTATTTTCAAAGAAATTAACTAGAAAAATAGAAAAACCGCGTATTGCAAATAAGAAAAGTGAAGCAATCATAATAAAAAATTATACATGTGCGAGGTCAACTTTATGTAGACAAGCGGTTTTACAAAAGAAAAGGAACCGTGAAATTATGCAAAAAAAGGGGAGATTTTCGAATATGTTCTAATATGAAAAAGATAGAAAATGAGTTATTTATTTATTGTTCATTACTGGAAAGGGAGGATTAGCCATTTATTTTCGGCCTAAATAACAAACAAAAAACTATAAAAGAGAGACCATCATTTTTTTCCTTTTTCCTTTTTTTTTTTTTTCATTCTTAAGAAATCTCTGATACTAGCACATGCTTAAAAAATGCTTGCTACTGCTTATCAATACGCTCAAATACTCAAATAAATACTCAAATACCTAATTATGCTTATCAAATGCTTACCAATGCCTACAAATGATCATCAGTACCTGAAAATACTAATGAATGCCTGCCTTATGCTTATCAACGTCGGAAAGTCCCTGAAGAATTTTGCTTGTGTCTATCAATATCTGCTGCTAATGAATATTGCTCTGGAATAACTACATATTCAAGTCCTGAAGCCTCAAGGAACATAATCAATCTGCTTAGCCAATTTATGTTAAAATATGTCAATATATGCTGCAAGAAAAAAAGTTATAAAAAACAAAAATTATGCCAAACTAGGACAAATTAGGGCAAACTACCCATTTCACAATTCCATACCAAGCTAAACATATTAGTACGAGGCATGGTAACCTATGCCATTGAAAGGTATTTGCGATACAAAAGAGATACAACAATAAGCCACGAATATATAATTACGAATTTAAGGGTTGCTTTAAGTTCAAATGGGCTTGTACCGACTTGTTTAGAGAGTGAAGATTGACTTATTGTAGGTTGATTTGACGATGGTAAATTTGGAGACTGAACCAACGTGCGATGAAGCATAAATTTGAAAAAGTTGTCAGCTCAATTCTTGACCACTTCTTTCGCGTTCGGCTCCACTAACATGGTCTAACCAATCTCTACCCCTTCATAAAGCTAGAAAACATATTCCCTTGGAGAAGTGTTCAGAACCTCACGTATCCACCCTGCTTGTATCACTTTCTAGAACTTCATAAACCTGTATTGTATTTTAACAAGCATGAATATTATCCGCAGGATAGTTGAATAATACACTGCCGATAATGGGTAGTAGAGGATACAAATCAACTCACCAAGAAACCGTGCGCTGATTCCAGCATGGAATGGTATACTATGCTTTATTCGAGCATCAAATAGCGTGTTTAATTCTACCATGCAGAAGTCAACAACAAATACCATAACGGAGTTACAACTCACAGTGGAAATGTCTAGTGAGCAGCATGCGAAGACATTAAACATACTATCGATGATACTCTGAAGAAAATACACAGTACAATTTCGATGATTGATGGTATCATTCGGCGTAATTTGGATACCAAATTCTCAGTTGTTACCTTTGCATTTTGCATTCAATTGGCAAGAAGAATAATACACTCTCGATGATATATCTAGAGCCTGAGAAAATTGGCTACTATGTTCACCAAGAGGGTCATCACACTAAGATTCCTGTGTCTTTTGAAGAAAGAGGCTAACAGCTACGAGTTTTGAGTTCTTGAAATGGCGGAAATCGACAATCCAACTCTGCGACGGTAAATTCAATTCAATACAGACCAGATGAGGCACAAGAGCTTAGCAATGCCAAGAAGGAAACACCGATTTTCGTTATAAATGTGAAATAGAAGTCGACCGTAAGGAGGAAGTACCAACTTGGGAGCGGGCTTCGGCTTTGAGCGTGCTGACTATCTCGCTTCTCTTTTGTTGTCACATGTCGGATTGTAAATTATTACTGTTATCAATGTGTCTTGTTTAATAAAGAACCTCTTCGGCGTCTTTGTCTCTTTCTTTTCTCCTTTTCCTAACTTGGATCTAACGAATATATAACAACCACTAAATATCATAGAGGAGTAAATAGTTTTTTTATTCTTCTCTTTGCTTAAAGAGAGAGGCTTCTATTTATCTAAAATCTAGCCATTTATCATAAATAGACCCTTCTTACTCCTCTAGCAATCCTCTTCGGACTCTCCTTCCAGAGGTTAAAAGAAAGAAGAGACTGAACTATCTTCACGGCAACAGAAATAAAGATTGGCCACCAGAAAGCTTCGTAAGTTCAGTTCAATCTTATCATTGTCAGTCCATTAATTTCAATTATTAGCATATGTGATAAACAACGTCAACACATCACAGAGAATCTTTTCAAGTTTAAATATAGAAACATCAGCCCTTTACTGACGACACGAACAATCGGAACAGCACAAGGATCCCGTGAGCTAAACGAAGAATTTGTAAATACAAGTTAAAAGCCCTAGTATAATAAAAAACCATTATATTACGGAATATGTTTATAAAAGGTTATCAAAGTTCCTTTGTTAAAATGATATCAATAACCACAAAGCGATTAGCTGTAATAGCCCTCTTTCATATTTCCCGCGTTATAATGGCCGATTGGTTATATGGTCGGAATATTACACGTTTCGACAAACTGGGTTGTAGCGGACGAGGTACTTGTAGAAGAAATAGTGTTGGTATTGTCAAGTGTGCGCTGTTGTGTGATGTGTATTTAAGTTTGGCAATAAATTAATCTCTAGCTGCAAGACTCCTTTTACAATCTGGAAATTTCCAGTTAGAGATTAACTGATCAGCTATCCGGGATTAAAGAACGATAGCCTGGTGTTATGCGGCTTCTGTTGTACATCTAAGGGGAGTCAAATCATTCAGATTAATCCGCTTTACGTATTTTTTTGATGGGGACCATTTCTTTATTTTTTAGAAAGAGGAAATGAAACCGTCAGTTGGTGAGACGTCGTCATAGAAATGAAAAGTAAAAATGAAGTAAATCAAATAAGAGAAACACTACATATAAAAACAACAGGCTGATTTAATAATATCCTTACTGTATGTACAAAGAAGAAACAGTTCAAGAATGTCTTATTGGACCTGAGTGAGCTCCGTCCACAAATATCTAAATTTCAAACCCAGAATATCCTAAAGCATTCTATTAGTCACTCCAAGAGAGTTATGCCTCTAATGTAAAGCATGTAACAAGCCTATAACTTATATTAGTATAAAACGTGTACATTAGAATATTAGTACTATAAGCTTCATCATATTATTTCGTTAATTAAAAATGTCAGGCACATTTTAATGTGACGTCAAAATCGCGCGAGCGCGCGTTGTCGCGTTCGGGCTTCACTCTTCATTTACACGAAAAAAAAAAAAAATCAAGAATAAAAAAGATCGCGACTTGAAAGATTTTTCATTCTTCTCTTTCTTTTTTTACATTCAAACCAAAAAAAGGTTGAGCTATTTCATCTTTTTATTCAAGAAAAAAGTCAGTGAGTCAAGATGTTTGTAATCAAAAGAGGTGTGTATTATCTGTATCCTAGGTTACCCTTTTTAATAAATTGTAACATAGATGGAAGAAAAGAAAATGTCATGTTTGATAAGATAACCTCGCGTATATCAAAGCTTTGCTACGGTCTGAACGAAGATTTTGTTGTTCCTGCTAAAATTGCTCAAAAGGTTGTGTCTGGTGTTTATCAAGGCATTACTACTGTTGAACTTGATAATCTCACCGCCGAGACGGCTGCGTACATGACAACGAATCATCCTGATTTTGCCATCCTTGCTGCTCGCATTGCTATATCAAACCTTCAAAAGGAAACCGACGATAAGTTTAGTTCTGTCATCCATAAGTTGTACCATCATGAACATCCCAAACTAAAGCAACCAAATCCTCTGGTTTCCAAGGAGCTTTATGATGTTGTCATGGCTAACGCCGATAAGATTGACGCTGCCATCATTCACGATAGAGATTTTGATTTTAACTTCTTTGGCTTTAAAACGTTAGAGCGTAGCTACTTGCTAAAGATCAATAACGAAATCGTTGAACGACCTCAATATATGATTATGCGTGTTGCTATTGGCATTCACGGTAATGACCTAGAAAGCGCCTTTAGAACCTATGATCTTATGTCATCTAAATACTTTACTCATGCTACACCTACATTGTTCAACGCTGGTACACCTAAACCTCAATTATCTAGTTGCTTCCTTGTTCAAATGAAAGAGGACAGTATCGAAGGCATCTATGATACTATCACCACTTGTGCTCGTATCTCCAAGTCTGCTGGCGGTGTTGGCGTTGCTGCTCAAAAGATTCGTGGCTCTGGCTCTTATATCGCAGGAACAAACGGTACCTCCAATGGCATCATTCCAATGCTCCGAGTCTTTAATGACACCGCTCGCTTTGTGACACAAGGAGGTGGTAAACGCAACGGTAACTTTGCTGTCTATATAGAACCTTGGCATGTCGATGTATTCGAATTCTTGGACTTGCGAAAGAACAATGGTGCTGAGGAAATGCGCGCGCGCGACTTGTTCTTGGGATTATGGGTGCCTGATCTTTTCATGGAGCGTAAATAGGCAACATCGCTATGGATAACTTGATATTAACTTGCTATGATAGGTGTTGAGAAAAACGAGAAATGGTCATTGTTTTGCCCTGATGAAGCACCCGGCTTATGGGATAACTATGGAGAAAAGTTCGATTCTCTCTATATAAAATACGAGAACGAAGGAAAGGCTAGAAGAACAGTCGACGCTCAGAAGCTTTGGTTTGCCATTTTGGAAGCACAAACCGAGACTGGAATGCCATATATGCTTTATAAAGGTAAGCTCACTCCTCAAATGTACATCTCAAATAGCTAATTCAAAGTTGTAAGATTCATGCAACAAGAAATCAAACCAAAAGAATCTTGGAACTATAACTTCTTCCAATTTGTGTACAGGTATTCGATTTATCACATGTGTTTGTGCTTATATCTAAGTTAACTTTTGTAGAAATCATCGAATACACCTCTCCTGATGAAGTTGCTGTCTGTAATTTGGCTTCTCTTGCTTTACCCAAGTTTGTTAATAGAGACACAAAATCATTTGATTTTGAAAAGCTTCATCAAGTCACCAAAGTAGTGACACGCAATCTGAACAAGGTCATTGATGTCAACTATTATCCAGTCGAAGAAGCACGTAACAGCAACATGCGACACCGTCCGTAAGTTTCTGCATAATCACTTTAAGCAGATGTTCGTTTATTCATCTATTCATAGCATCGGTCTCGGCGTTCAAGGGCTTGCTGATGCGTTTATCTTGATGCGCTATCCCTTTGATTCTCCTGAAGCTGCTCAATTGAACAGAGATATTTTCGAAAGAATCTATTTTGCTGCTCTAGAAGCTTCATGTGAGCTTGCCAAAGAACAGGGACCCTATGAGACTTACGAAGGCTCGCCTGTAAGTCAAGGTATTCTTCAACACGATTTATGGAATGTCAAAGGCTCGGAACATCTCGATTGGAATACTTTGAGAGCCAATATCAGGAAATATGGTGTCCGTAACTCTCTTCTTGTTGCTCCTATGCCTACTGCTAGCACTAGTCAAATATTGGGTAATAACGAATGCTTCGAGCCTTACACTAGCAATATTTATACGCGTCGTGTTCAAAGCGGTGAATTCCAAATAGTCAACCAGCATTTATTGAATGATCTCATTGAACTCGATTTATGGAATGATAACATCAAGAACATGATGATCGCTCATGGCGGTAGTATCCAGCGTATTCCTGGCATTCCTGATGATCTCAAAAAACTATACAAGACCGTGTGGGAGATTTCACAAAGAACTATTATTGACATGGCCGCTGATAGAGGAGCCTTTATTGATCAATCTCAATCTATGAATTTATTTACTGCCGAACCAAACTTTGGCAAATTGACTTCTATGCACTTTTATGCCTGGAAGAAGGGACTAAAGACTGGCATGTACTATTTGAGATCTAGACCTGCAGTTGATGCAATCAAGGTGAGTAATATGTGTTTTCGATTGCAACCCCCACTAATAGTTGAAAAAAAAACTAGTTTACTGTTGACCAATTGGCACTTAAAGAGATGTCATTATCTGAGACAAGCGGCGCAAGTAACAAAATCAAATCAAGCAAAGAAGCAGAAGAGCAACAAAGATTAGCACAGCTGCAGTGCTCATTAGACAACCGTGATGCCTGTGTTATGTGCAGCGGTTAAACTCGCTTGATGTATGTAAATACATATGTTCTTGAGAATATGTAATTTGTTTTCCTTTCTTTATTATTTAATCCCATATTTTCATTCAACCTCTCTCATCATCCATTTTATGTCATACATCTTGTATCACTTTTTAATATTTCAATAAAAAAAAACATCATTTCTTTTTACATATAATGTTGAGCAAAAAGAGATGATCTTTATAGATAACGTCATTGAAAAAAGACTCTAAGTTAGGTATCAACGACTCTTTCGATCCAGTTCATATCCAGAAAACGTTTAAGTCATCGAATGGTGGGAAATAGAGTGTACTGGGATCTATATAAGTATGATTCGAAATATACCTGTAAAGAGTAATGCCATTTTATATTTACATAGTTAGATAAACAGCTTGATTACTATGCGAAAAACCTGTGCCAAATGACAAAAAAATCTTGCATCAGGGGTAGATATCAACAAAAAGTTCTTGCAACTCAAGGTTGCTTATGTAATAGCGAGACGACAATAATGTTATCAGATCCGTTACTGCCGCTGAACTTAAATAACTCGTAAATCCGAAGATCCGCTTAGGCGCATTTACCAACGGTGTTCGCTGTGTAACAATATAGCTGCGCATTAGGTCAAATATCAAGTATTGTCGCATTAGAGCAACACAATTGAAATGAACTGCACCATTTATTACCATATATAATCTAATTGTATAGGCTCACTAACTCCATTTCTCCGCGCACATATACAAGGATGTGCATCTTACACACTATAAATACCTCCTTCTTTCCACTCTTTTAATCTCCATCAAATGTATTCAAACAATCAAGCAACCCCCTTCAAGGTGATCATCATTGGCGGCGGTATATCTGGCCTTACATTAGCAAATGCCTTAAAGAACAAGAAAATCGCATTTGAAGTCTTTGAGCGAGATAGCGATTCTAATTGCCGTGGCCAAGGATGGTCTATCACTCTCCACACTGGTCTTGACTCTTTGCATCAGTGCATTCCTGCACATCGATTTGAGAACTTTGGTCATGAAAACTGCGTCAATCACGAAGCAAACGAAAGCGGACTCAAAGTGCGCTTCATTGATGGTCGTAGTGGCAAGGATGGAATGTTGTTCTATTTGAAAGAGGCCTATCGCGTCAAGCGTGTTCGCTTTAGAAAATGGCTTTTGAAAGACGTTGAAGAACATGTACATTGGAGCAAGAAGATGGTTCGTTATGAAGAGCATGATGATGGCGTAAAAGTATTTTTTGAAGATGGTACATGTGCCGAGGGCGATCTATTGATAGCTGCAGACGGGTCCATGTCTCCTATTGCTCATCAACTCTTAAAAAGCAAATTTGATGAATTAACGAATCTTCTTCCATTGAATTGCTATGGGGCTTGTCGCTGGATTACTGAAGAGGAATGGAACAGGATTTTCATCAGCCCCAAACAGCATGCAACCATTAATGGTACCATACCCGATCAAACAGTTGACGGTGTTGTTAACATGGTGTATACGCTGAACAAGATTGATAGAAGCCAGCCTGCCACGCCTTATGAGATTGCTTGGTTTATCAGCCGATGGGATAGGAATGGTCTGTTTGAGTTTCCAGATGGTACGAATAATGCCAAGATCATGAGTATGGTCAAGTCATGGGCTGCAACTTGCTTTCCTGGATCCCCTGTTCATCAACAGTTTGTACTTGATACGCCAGACGACACGCCGATTACTGGAGTTAAAATTAGAGAGAGAAAGCCTGATTATGATTTACTTGTCAATGCTAGCCACCGAGTTGTACTTGTAGGCGATGCTGCTCATCCAATGTCAATGTTTCGAGGTGAAGGCGCCAATCATGCGATTATAGACGTGGCTCAGTTGGCTGAACAAATTGGAGCTGTTGTAGCTGGCACCAAATCATTAGACAAAGCTGTTGAAGACTATTACAAGGAAATGGTACCTCGAGGACAAAAGGCTGTTTCAGAATCTCATGTAGCCGCTGAAATGGTCCATACACAACCGGAAGGGTTGGCTGATCTGTATAAATCTATGATGGCTCGTTTTAGTAAAAAGTAACGCATCCTTTTTTTTTTCTTTGACTAAATAAACTAGTGTCTATTGCCCCGCATTCATGACTATTTTAGTATTCGTCACACTTGTTGACACTTCATTTCTAACAAACGCTCTTTATATGACTGTATTTTGATCCCCTTTTTTCCCCCTCTTTTGTATGCCCATTATACCTTGTACACGAAAACTAAAGCTCACTACAGCAGACAACGATAAAATTCAATGGACATTAACACGACAACAGCCTGAACAGTATTTCATTAAGCAACCAGAGCGGGTCGAAATGACGAGTGATGCTCGGCATGAAACTTTACATGTTGCCAAATGCTTGATTGACATGCTACCATTAGGCGTATAGTATTTTATAAATAACTTGATTGACTTCTAACTGAACAAAATAGAAAGAAAAAGAAATGCTTCCTTCGCTGGCCAAAAGAATCAAGCAACTCTACAACAATATGTGTTTTTCACCAAGACTATTTGCTCAGTTTCTTACTGAACATGTCGAAAAATCGATCCTGGGTAGACTTTTTGAATTGTACTATATACTTTCTGTATTATTACGAGATACATTGGCAATACGGCTACATCTTATTCTTCAAATGATGGATTCTGACACTTTAAATGCTGCTCTTTATGAATTATTTGCTTATAGAGAAGATATTGGAAAAGGTTAGTTACTAAAAGAAAACAGAGGGGTGAGACTTATGCTGGTTAGCCTATGTCATGTCTTTAAGCAATGAACAATCGGATGAGTTCTTTATGAAGGATAGCAAGTATTTTTTGAACAAGTAAGTTATTTTAAAAGAAAGAAAAAAAGAAGGGGGTTACTGACGAGTGTTAGTGATACCGTGAGATTAGAAAGGATAAAAAGACTGTATTACGTGTTACAACGGCCTGATACAAATCGAAAATCATGCATTGGTCGATTGCTACTTGTAAGAGAGCTGATGAGTACAAAGGATACTGTACAGATGGTGTTCTATGAGACAATTGAAAGGGCAAAGAAGGATATTTTATGTCACAGTAACCATGGTAACCATGAAAAGGACTTTATTTTTCAGTACTTGGCATCTTGGTTCTTTGAGTTCAACCAAGATTCTACGATGACTATGACTGAGTTTACCATAGAAGTATTACAATTAGCCTCTGAGGCAGAGAGTGTAAAGTAGGGTCCAAAGTCTATTCAAATGTACTTATCCTATTTCTTTTAGGATATTGTCCCTGACATTGGCATTCTGTTATTTATTTATAGTAGCGGATGCAGACAGTTAGTCGCAGAAGGCAGAGATATGCTGCGAATATTTGATATCATGGATTGGATCACAAAGGGAACAATTGACATACTTGAAAAGGGTGATAGTACAGGTAGTTTAGCTGTCCTGTTAGCATTTGCTCAGATAACATTACACTTTATACATACTGATCTCTCTTACAGTACATGGTTTGAGGTAATTTTACAGCTTAAATCAAGCAGTTGCATTCATATATAATATCAATAGAACACATTTTCAAATCTAAAGACAACTACGCTTACAAAAAGAGGACATGGTGTTTTACTAAAGACACTTGAAGACATGATACCTTATGAGATACCGAGTGTCCTCCAGATACACGGGAAAGCGTTACTTAACCATACACATGATACTCTATTTATAAGATTAATACGAAAACGACTACTGGAATTAGGCGTTGATAACAGTCTAAAGAAATATCCTTCCGTATTCAACCAGCCTTTGCAGACATCTTCATCTACTGCGTCAAACGCAGTGGAAGACCAAGTTACTTTGGCAGTAGAGTCATTTGTCAAGAAAAACGGTGTCATTCCAACAACCGTGCTTCAAAATTTTGTATTTCGCCGACAATGGTTTATAGCCACGTTCTTACCAAGTCTGTTCTCCTGGAATACAAATGATTCGACACTGATGAGTGCGAAGCATCAATTGATTCTAGCTTTAAAAGAGAAAGGAAAAATACCAGAGTCAATTTACAATGAATATATCAATAAATGATAATGATCACTCTCCCTTCTTTTTCTTGATGACTTCTCTTTTTGGTTATAGACCAACAAGAGTTGTTCATAAGTGGGTAGTGTACAGTTCTTTTTTCTTTTTTGGGTCCATCGGCGGAGAAGATGCCACGAATAATTTGATGGAAAATCACTTAAATTTTTCTCTTTCTCTTTTTTAATTAGTCTTGATCCGTAAAAAGTTAAAGTCATGTCTTCACCACCAGAGTCAATGATTGAAACAGGTAAAGCGTGTGATTCAACTCATGATCTTTTGACTAACAATGACATGTAGAAGAATCTGCAATGAACAAAAAAAGAGGAAGAGCTCAGTCAGTTGAGCCTACTTTTGTAGAAACTATTGACGAGGTACCAACAACAAGAAAATAATGCAAGAGAAAAAAGTTAACCTTGGAATATAGAAGGAAGATGTTCAAGAGAATGTTCCATCTGTCACTGCTACAAAGAAAACGTTTGTTTATATATATTTGAAAAAAAGACAACTTGGCTAACATTGAATTTATAGTAAACGCGATGAAGAAGACAATGGTACTCCTTCAGTTAGTACAATCCGTCGAAACATGAAAGAAATGTCGACTACGGACAATGACCCTTCAGACGATCGTAGTATAGACACAAATGACAGCCAAGAAGACGAAGACTTGGATGTTTCCAAAGAAGAAGAAGTAAAGACTGCCACAGAAAACAAGGCCGCTGCCCAATTTGGTGGTAAAAATGACGATGATGACTGGGGAGAATTTGCTGAAGAGGAATCGCCTTCTGAAAGCAACCAAAAAAAAGACAATACAACGGCTGAAAAGCCAAAGTATGCTTTTGGCGCATCTTCTGGCTTTGGCACCAAAGGCTGGGCAGCCACACATCAGACTATACCTACAACCACAAAGGTAAACATGTATAAAGCAGATAGGGTAGCAATTAGCTAAAAAGTCATTTCAATAAAGCCAGCTTTTGGTGGATTCAGCAACTTTGGATTTGGTGGTTTCAAAGCAACAACAACAACAACAACAAACAATGGAAATAAGGAATCTTCCGACTCAAAGGAGCAAGTGCAATCAGCTTTGGCTAGTACTACTGCCACTGCCGCCAAAACTACTACTACTACGACTACAACAACATCACCTTTTGCATCATTTGCAAAGGCGACTGTATCTCCATTTATGGCAGCAGCAGCGGCGGCGGCGAATGCCAGCAGTAGCTTAAAAAATGCTTCACCATCTTCAGCATCAAACACCAATGGTAACAATGATGATACTGAAAAAGAGCCCAAGGGAGAAGGTGAGGAGGATGAAGATAATAGTTTTGGTAAAGAGCCCAAGGTGAAAGTACCTGGAATCACACAAAAAGCGGAAGGTAAGTCCACTTGCATGATGTAAGACAATCTTCTTATTTTAAACAGTCAAAACTGGTGAAGAAGATGAACATACAATCTTTCAAACCAAAGCCAAATTGCTTATCCTTGATGGTCCTTCTGGAAACTGGAAAGAACGTGGAGTTGGTACATTCCGTATTAACGTGAAAGAAGAGAATAAATCAACACCACAGGCACGTCTTGTCATGCGCACTGACTCAGTTTACAGACTCATATTGAACCTTTTGCTCTTTGAAGGAATGAAGGTCTTTATTATGCAAGAAAAGTTTGTTAGATTTGCAGGATTTGAAAAAACGACAAAAGAAGACGGAACAAGCGATACTAAACTTGTGAATTTTGCTCTAAAGTTAAGTAATCCTTCAGTCGCTAAGGAAGTCTATGAAACCATTATGGCTCATGTTCCTACAAAGAATGAATAAATTGCTCTTGTAAATAATAAATTATCCAATTTTATGCAGTCTTTCTACAAACATAAGCCACTTGTTAAAAGTAAGCTTCAGAATTACCTAAATTTCCTTTTTAATCCACTTTATGGACTATAAAGATACAAGACCTGTCAGACTGCCCAAGGTGTTATTCAACTCCTGGGCAGCACTGGTTGACAAGTACTTTGAAGCTCATCCTAACAATAAACCTATTGCCCCGGTCATTCCCTTACAAAGACTCATTTCACTTGGAGATGCGCCTTGGAACAAACAGGTTGCCTGTATTAAAGAATCTGGTAGTTCAAGATAACATAAAAGAAAAACAAAAACCTTATATCTTATATAGCAAAGCTGCTACAGAAGCTATTGAATCAGCCTTCAGAGACTGAACTTGATCAAGTTAGACATCTGGTCGACCCCATAGCATCTCTTGGATATTTCGCCGCTCAAGAGAACCTTTCTAGACGTATGTTTGTTCCAATGATCGAATCATGTGCCAAATACTTGAAAGACTCTTCCTTCAAGTCATATTACACGAAATATATCATGGACAAAACGACTGAGCCGTGTTTTGAGGACAAGCCATTATCCCAAAAGGCATTGACTATATATGCCATGTTAAAGTATCCGCTTGGTCAACAGGTTATTGCAGACTATTTTTATGAAACACTTGAATATATGACAAATGGATTACAGAATGCACGAGACCAGATAAGAAGTATGAAAAACAGCGCCAAGACACTAAACACGAGCGCAGATCAGTTTTTAGGGGATATTGAATTCATATCAAAGACAATTCTCGTCCTATTTTCTCGTCAGTTGCAAGTTGGACCTGAGCTCTTTAAGAAGGCTGAAATGCGATTAAAGGACGATCCTGAGCTGATGTTATTAAGTAGAGTCGTTCGAATCTTGCTAGACGTTTGTCTTGATACATCGAGTTATAGTAAAGAGTGTAATCAGGTGGCAGGAATGGCTATTGGAGCGTTTCTCAACTTGGCAAACAACGCTGAAACCACGCGCGATTTGGTACTTGGTTGCTTCTTTACGAATACAAAAACAGTAGAAACAGAAAAGATTATCTCAACACTTGATATCTCAGATATGTTTGTAAGATTTGTCGAGACTCAGTGTTGGCAAGGCCGTGATGCTCCAATCATATTCATCTTGAGAGGGCTTTCCTCCAGCTTAAGAAAAGAAGTTATCTTACTGGACTGTCCACCAGATCTACGTTTTATTGATCCCCTTAAAGGGTAAGTCTAGTCTATAGTATCATAAGCTTGTGTTAATGCGCGATCTTTTAGACAATCTTTCAAGAATCTGAACGAAATCTTCTTCTTCAGCATTGACTTGTTTTGTCAAACTCCCAATTTAGATGCATCATGCAAGGTTGTTGTATTTGAATCCATGGCAACATGGCTTCAACAAACAAAGGAAATCATGGAGCAGAATAAAGAGAAGCATATTATCGACTCAATTTCCGGACCAATTCACTCTAAAAATATGGATAGACTGATTTACTATGTTTGGGACCACTGGGATGATCCAATTGACTCTATTCAACACAAGGTAGCAAAACTAAGTCAATACATGACCTGAAGTATTTAACCTCCCTCTTAGGTTAGATCCATTTTTGAACTTGTATTATCACTTATGCAAATCAAATCAAACTTTTACAACCAAGATCACATATACAACGAGTTTTTACATCATCTCTTGAAAAACATGATCAACATGGATTGGCACAAAAAAGTTAAATATGCACTTTTGAATATGCTTGTAGAAAAAGTAGAAACAGATGCCTTTCTTAAAGTTGAGCCTCGCTTGATAGAAAAGTGTTTACAAGCTATGGACAGCCTCATCCTTTGTCCACAGATCACGTATTTCTTGCTGACATTCTTATATCGACGCATACAAGACACCATACCAGGCCATGAAAAATTTAATGGTCACAATGGGAAAATAAAATATGACTCGAACTCAAAACACGCGGTGGATGAATGGATTGCTCTATGGGCTTTACCCTTGCTTCAAAGCTTAACTTCATCTTTTGAATTAGTTCGAAAGAATACAAGTGGATTTTTGTTACAGCCTCTTTTTAAAGTGTCGTCTCAGTCATTTTGGTTCCTGGTGAATATTTTGCAAGATGTGCATGATTCAAGGTGGAAGGAGGATACGCTTGATTCAAGGTTTCGGTTAAATGCGTTTATTGCTGTTTTAAAATCTGCAAGAGCTCTTGATATCATTGATGGAAATGCATATACATCTGAACCCACTCTAGAAAAGACCAGAATCCCTATCGACGTATTGAAGCTTGCTGTGCATCATAGCGACCCTCAAGTTCGTATTGATGTCCTTGGACTTTTATGCGAATCTCGAAAAGCCACAGCCGAAGTTACTTTTATTGAATTAGATATGGTTAAAACGTTTCTGCCTCTAAACATGAACTCCACCGCCCCCGAGTTCCGTCAGCAGATGTGCGCTCATCTTACAAAACTATTGGTCCGCTTACGCGGAAACCTCTATTCTCAATATCGCGCTTATAAGTTGTCCGAGGCAAAGGATGCCAAGAAAGGAGCATCAGATACAACAGACATTATGGCGCGTATTGAACAGGGTCGATCCTTCTTATTCTGGCTTTGTGATTTTATCTCTGAATCACTGTATCCTGGTGCATCATACCAGCGCGTTGCAACAGCCTTGCGTATGCTAAGCATCCTGGTCAAGACGTTTGGCGTTACCGAATTACCACCCATTGAAGGCTTTACCGATCGACAACCTGAGTTTCCCTTTCAGTTACCACTTGCAACAGCTCGTCTATCAAAGCTTTTGATCAATGTCTTTATGAACCCTTACGATTTTAACCGTGTTCAAGCGTTCGATATATTAAATCAGTTCCCTAGCCCCTTGCCAGGGATAGAATCAAAACATGACGTACAAAATCTGCTTTGGTGGGGCCTGAACAATGTCGTAAGCACGCGTGCTAACGAAAGCGACAGTGGAGCCATGGTATTCAGACTGATATTCAAAAAGTATGTGGTTCATCTTGGCTTTGACCTGAATCCCGAGCAAGACAGATTACATGAAAGTAAATTCAACGAAAAGACGAGTGCTGCAGTTATCTTTACAGAAAGACTGCTCGATTTACTCGAAAGACAAGTAGCAGTTGCTAAAAGCAACTTGCTTTTGGCTGCTCAACAACATCCAATGCATGGTACCTTACTTGCTCTTCAGTACGTCTTTTCTGAGCTTGACTATAGGAGCGATGCGGTTCAGAAAAATTTTGTTGATTGGAAAAAGGTGCATAAACGTGCTGTGTATTTGATTAAAGAAGCATGTGATGCTGCACTAGATGTCCTTTCAGATCCTTCTCCTGAGGGAAATCTACCTCTAAATTACCAAGAAACAGACGATATGGATGAGCAACTACTGGATGAAAGCTTAGAGGACACTACTTCTGGACCAAAACATCAGATCATCCTTAGTTGCTGTTGGCGTGCTGTAAAGGAAGCAAGTTCTCTGTTGCAAGTCATGATTTCGAATGTGCCTATTACCTCCCAAGATGCAACCAATACCATATTTACTCTCGAAGATTTGGTTGATGCCGGCGAACTATTCCACAGCCTTTTGACGAACATTCGTCATAGAGGTGCATTTTCCTCGGTGTACCCTGCCTATGTATCTTTGAATATGAAATTATTAGCAGTGAAGGACCTAAGTATCTCTCAGCTTCCTTCTCGTTGGCTGCAAAATGATCTTGATGGCCTGACATCAAGTAATATCTCTATTACTAGACGTAGCGCAGGCTTGCCTCTGTGTATTCTAGCCGTGCTCAGTAGTGAACAATCTATTAAAAGGGAGCTGTTAGCTAGTGCAATGAAGCAATTAATGGCGCTGGCAAGCCAAGAACCTCCCAGGGACGCTGACCAGCGCATTGACTTGCCTCAAGTACATGCATATAACATCATGCGATCTATTTTTATGGACTCCAAGTTAGGAAATCATGTTTTGGAATATGTGTCCAAAGGCTTCTCATTAGCAATTAGTGGTTTCTCATCCTTTAGGTAATCTAAAAAAAAACAAATGTGTTAAAGCAATAGGCTAACTGTATCCCAATTTTGTAGCTGGGCTATTCGCAATTGTTCAGTCATGTTATTCTCAACCCTTTTACAAAGAACATTTGGCACAAAGAAGACTAAGGATGAACACAGTCATGTCAATACACTGACAGGCCGTGAATTTTTTGTCAGATTCCCTGACCTACACCCATATTTGTTGAAAGAATTAAAGGTCGCTGTAGAACATCTTTTGAACAATCCTACTGCTGCAAGTGTTCATCCTGGTCTCTATCCCATGCTGACTTTATTATCGCGCATGAAGCCATCTTTGGAAAAAGAAGACGAACAAGACAACGTACTGGCACCATTTATTCCTCTCGTCATGCCCTGTGCTGCTAGTGCCATCTATAAAACGCGAGAAATGGCTGCTAGAGCCTTGGTGCCATTAGTTCACGATGTCAATGGTGTTATCACACAGCTGATGGAACTTGGAGATAATCTGACACAGAATCAGATTCATGGAAGACTTCTTCAAGTTAAATTTATTTTGCATGGACACTTTTATTCTAGTTCTGCCAAACCACAAGTCTTTACACAATTTGTTCAACAGGTTCCTAATGTCATCTTGAAATCATTGGAGTTACTTGAAAAAGAGCGATTCTGTCATATGAATGGTGCTCTTCTTTTATCCATTACTGCAGAATTTTTCTTTGATACAACATGGATGTCTTTTGGTGACAAAGATAAAGAATTGACTAAAGGCAAGTGATCAACCCTTCCTTGTCATTTATTATTTTAACACAACTTTACAGAGCTATTGCAGTCCTCGACTTCAAGCTTTGCTGAATTGCAATTGGCCGCAGTATCTATATGCCAGAGGATTATCAGTAATAGCCAACTACATGGCATTGGAGCCTATTTATTAAGACAAGCTGCAGCAAACATTGTTTTATTGAATGCATTAAATAGACCAGATCATGACATAGACGACGTTCTTTATTTAATCGAAGATCGTGATTATGAAGTTCGTCTGCTCGCCTTGGAAAAGTTATTGATACACTTTAAAAAGCGCGAAACAAGCAAGGACGGTTCTTGTTTAAGGTAAGCAACTGTTCTTTTTTTGTTTTTTTTTTTTGCTTGCTGACTTTGTCATGTTATATAGCACAAGGTTACACCATATTTTAGCACAGAGAACATTTGAAGGCGAAGACTATCAAAATTGTTATGTTAAGGCAGCTAAGCTCTTGTTGACACTGCAACCCGTCGCACCTTATCCTGCTTCTAGTTCTAAATTCACCATTCAGCAATACTGGCATAAACTTGTTGACAATATTGCGGAAAAGAGACCCTTGTCTATTAAAGAATCTGTGCTTCCTCTGCTAGGCTCTCTGCTTGAACAGGTATGTTTACAAACAAAAAAAGGGGATGAATGCTAAAGTTTGTTGTAGATTTATCATATGGGAGACAAGGAATGGGCTCAGCACTGTCTTACAGTCTGGAGCAACTTTATTTCGCTTTACAGTCAAAAGGAAACGCCCCTACCTTTACGAGAGGCTACTGTAAAATCTATCAAGCATGCATCCAGTTTCTTGTTTTCACAAGAACGGAGCATGAACGCTGCTCGTGATGCAAAGGTTTCTGTACTCATTTCTATCACTCAACTCTTGCAAGATGACGATGTGGATGTTCGTATGGATACAGCTCAGATCGTGTCAGACGCGTTACATTTACAAAGCCCGGTGCACCATGAACGTGCTTTAGAGCTAGTGAATAGATATCTAATAGAAAATTTTGGCTCCTGTCATTTATTAAAAGCAGCCTTAAGCGCTGCTTTAGCAAATGAAGAAAGTCTGAGTAAGTAAAACTTGCAAGGCTGAAAGAACGATATCTAATGCTTTATGCCTCTAGAAACAATTTGGGAGAATGAGCTCTTAAAGACAAAGGCCTTGTTTGCAAAGGAGAATCCAAATATTTATAAGGAAGAATTAATCGATGTACAATTGGCCAAGGTTGATCTAGATATCCTTTGCATGACGAGCGATATGGCTCTTGATGTTGAAAAGATAAAGGCACTCTGTGATCAACTTGGTGCTTTTGCAAAATCAGCTAGATCCATGTCCACAACGGTAAATGTCTTAAAAAAAAGACTTGCGGATGTGTATTAAATGTTTTGGTTAATTTAGTTTATGCAACATGGCCCATACGGTATAACTTCAACACTCAACTTATTTTTAGCTGTATATAAAGCAATACTTGCTCTACATGTTCAAATCGGTCTTTTAGGAAATACAGAGCAGTCTACTATTGCTGATAGTTTAATGTCATTGCTTGAAGGTATGTTTATACATCTTTTAGAAACGGCACTCACTTTTTTTTTGGAAATTAGAACTTTCAAGACGCCTTTCAAGCATACAAGAAAATTGGGTCCATCCTCTAATTTGGCAACTATTACATGGTAAAGAAGGGTTATTACCAGAGCTTCTTTATGTATTAAAGTATCGTGGTGGTCGTGCTTCATTTACCAACATGTTCCTCTTGGCACCTGATATGAAGCATTATAAAAAACAATAGACTTGTTAAATAAATATTCTTCTTCTTTTAAGACTTATTTTAGTCTTGTGTGAACATTTCTTATGACCTTGGCACAGATAGACAACAGGATTCCTTAAATTAATTTCCATTGGCTGATAAATCCTGTTTATAGAAACAGTATATTTTTAGCCCCGTTCTTAGCTCCTTAACTGATCATCAATTGTTTTGCACTATTTCATATGTCTTTTCTTACAAGATGTCCAGCGTTATAAATGGTCAACACCTGTCTATAGATTCCGAGTACATTAGCCAATCACTGACAACACAACACTCTCCTTCACCAGAGGCTAATCTTGCAGGTGCTGTTAGAGAATATGCCGAACTTGATTTCGAAGATTCCATAAGTTTTAGTATTGCAGACAGGGCACAGCAACACAGGCCGTTACTAGAGCAAAATGATGAAGCTTTAGATGAATATGACGACTTGGAACAGAAGCAGTACAGATTACCCTCTGAAGGAGGTAGCATATTCACTAGCTTTGTAAGTGCATTGGGATACTATGTACACTAGAACGTGTCTTAATGTATACAGTTTAGCTCAATATGGCCAACAGCATTATAGGGGCTGGTATTATTGGATTACCATTTGCATTTAAAGAAGCAGTAAATTGTTATGCCCCTTTCTGCATATTTATTTATGTAACTTATATCTTTCTTTGTAGGGCTTTTGGATAGGACTTTTTCTCTTGATTGCTTTAACAATCATAGTTGGTAAGCATAAATAATATACTCAGTTCCATATTCTAAGCCCTCCCTCCCCTTCTTTGTTCCAAAGACTGGACAGTGCGATTATTGATCCATAATGGAAAGTTATCAGGAACTTCCACCTATCAGGACCTTATGGAATTTACATTTGGCAAACCAGGTTTAATAGCCATCTCCATTTTTCAATTTGCCTTTGCATTTGGTGGAATGGCTGCGTATTGTGTAATTATAGGTAAATTGAAACATGAAATTAAGGCTCCAGTTACCAACAGCAACGTAGGTGACACAATTCCTCACGTCATCCGATCATTATTCCCCAAGATTGATCAAGTACCTCTGCTCTGGATGCTTGCCGATCGCAACCTCTGCATATCATTCTTTACCTTATTTGTATCATACCCCCTCTCTCTTTACAGGGACATTTCAAAACTAGCAAAGACGAGTGCTTTAGCTCTAGTCGCAATTATCATTATCATCATTGCTGTGGCAATTGAAGGGCCGCAAATGCCAAGTAGCATCCGAGGATCTAGCGCATTAAGATTTAATATAATAAATAATGAAGCATTTCAGGCAATTGCTGTCATGAGCTTTGGTAAGGATATAACAGACATTATACAATTGTATTAACTAAAGTCCACAATAAGCATTTGTTTGTCATCATAATAGTTTCTTGATATTTGGGTCACTAAGACAACCATCGCTCAATCGATTTGCTTTGGTAACTCATTGGAGTATGGGTATTGCTTTTTTTACATGCCTGCTCTTGGCTGTGTCTGGTTACTGGGCTTTTACAGATAAAACAGTGGGTATGTGTGCGATGAATTGCTCCCCTTTTTTATTTTTCATCAGTTCTTAACTAAAACTGTATTCTGTAGGCAATATCCTAAACAATTTTCCTTCAGACAATATACTCATTAATGTAGCAAGATTATCTTTTGGTTTAAACATGTTTACTACTATTCCTCTTGAAGCCTTTGTATGCCGAGAGGTAAGGTTGTTTATTTACAACTAGAAAGATGACTCATACGTATGTTTAAAAGGTTTTAGAAACATATTTTTGGCCATCAGCCAAGTTTGATAAAATGCGACACTTTTTCATCACAAGCGTACTTATACTGACAACAGTGGCCATATCCTTACTTACATGTAATCTCGGTATAGTCTTAGAACTCACCGGAGCGTTTTCCGCTACTGTCCTTGCCTTTGTTCTCCCGCCTTTGTGTTTCTTGAAACTATCTAATGGACCGCTTTTTCACAGTTCAAAGATCTGTCACTGGGCATGTACGATATTTGGGCTGATCATCATGTTTATTAGTACATTTTATAGCATCCGTAAAGCTCTATTACCTTCTTCTTCAACAAGCAACCCTGAAGTGTGTGACTAATGCCTTATCCAAACGGGGGTAGCATAAATGAAAGTGGGAGTAAACAAGTAATCGCTACGTCTATACACTTGGATGTAAAGTCCCCCCGTATCCATAAGTAGATGTAGCTACTTGCACATGTCTATAAATAAAAAAGTGTATACAAAGATTTCCTGCTTTTTTTTTATTGAAAATGGAAAAAGACTTTAACTTACTGGAAACTATTTTATATACACCCGATGCTGGCATGTTTCTTGATGAATCAAGTGTTTAGCCATGTTTTGTGTTCTAAATCTACAAGCTAGGCTTCTTTTTATTGGATGAGCATATAGAAAGACTGCTGGCAGCCATGCTTGAATTCAACTTGCTAGATCATACCTTGTTCTCAACAAGATTAACGAGACAAGACATTACAAATGAACTTGGACGCACATTACCTACTGAGGATTCTTGTTATCGAGTAAGCCAATTATATGTAATCATAACATGTACCAACTTATTCGTCCCCTTCAGATTCGCTTGTTAGTTGACCCAGACTCAAATATGCATATTGAATATACGCAACTAACAGAACCCGAGTTTTCGTACATGTCATTGGATGAAGTAACCAATACAGAGCCAGCCTGGAACGTCGTGTTGGATACTGAACCTATCTCCAAAGACCCTGACGATCCATTCATCGTGCATAAAACTACAAAACGAGACGTTTACAACAATGCAAGAGAGAGAACTAGATGTGATTGGCATGCGACTAATGATCAGCCATTTGATGTTATCTTGTGGAATAAGCATAAACATGTTACAGAAACAAGTATAGCGAATATTGCTATACGATGTGTTGAAGGAGAAAAGTATCGGTGGAAGACACCCAAGCTTGAGTGCGGGTTGCTTCCAGGAGTATTTCGAGCATTTCTGCTTTTACATAATCAAGACTTGATTGAAGATGTGATAACAGTAGATGAGCTAAAGGATGCTCAAAAGGTGAGATATTTATTGTTACCAACTGATTTACTAAACTATTAAATAGAGAGGAGATCCCATTGTTTGCTTTAATTCTGTAAGAAAACTGTATAAAGTAAATCTATTGGATAACTAGGACTTATCAACACCTCTTCTCACCCAACTACTGATTATCTTAAATAAAAACACACTATAACACATAGCATATAACACACTAACATACTATAATAAAGAAAAGGACTGTTTTCTTACCATCTGTACAGGACCGAACATGCGACGTATGAGCACACGTTTTATTGCCACTGCTTTACCTTGATCCCGTTTTACTCTCTCTTATTTTTTTTTTTTTCTATTTTCTTATATTCGTAATATTGCGCCTTCAAAAAGAGCATTTAGGTACATACAAAAATAAGCACTTTCTTAAAGACACTGCGCTAGGACCTGTTCACTAACGCTTAATCTTACATTAGTACATGGACAATAATACCGTTGCCGCACTTATATACTGTATGATAAACAAGCCGGGAGCATAAAGTTTTGTAATTTTGACCTCATCCTCTAAGGTGTTGTCTTGAAAGCTTGACACTATCAATCTTCGTGCATCGTGTGCTGTGGTGAATTCTTGATTGACTACATGATCTAAAATAATTTTCGATTCTCGTAGAGCCTTCAGATGGTCAGCAGTGAATTTCCAAGGGCCAAGTTTACTGTTGGCAAATTCACCAGCTAACACATCGTGCATACTGCCGCTGATACTCGTCATAATTCCGAGATCCATTCTATCCCCGAAAGCGTCTCCCTCTGGCAGTGATCGTTTTTTTGCTACAATTGATGCTTGTGACACAGAGTCACCCCTTTACATATACGTTAGCAACAGGATATAATTTCATTTTCAATAAATAGCCCTACCACTTCAAAATAAGATCGCTGTCATTGAATACCTTCGCCATGATTGGCGTCCAGGTTTCATTGACAAAGTCCTGCTTGGTGGCGTTCCTTGTACGCTCATCTTTCAAAATAGAATGTTTTCTATGTAGTAGACGAATTCTATTAAAAGTGTTACGTCAAATAGAATCATTCTTATACGTTTTGTCAGCTTTACACATATACATAGATTTCGTAAAATGATTCTTCAGAGATGAAGGCATGCTTCGTCTATAGCCTCAAGCATAGCTGATATGCATTTTTTAAATTTGACACCGCTATCTACCAATATACTCAACTTAATGATGGTTGAAGTTATCAATAGAAAACAAACGTACCTGCTCAACCTCCTTCAAGTCCTCTTCAACTTTAGCAGGTAGCGGCGGCATTGTGCGAGATTTATATATTACATTTTTCAACTGCTGCCCCGATAATCCTGGGAATAATGATTTCTGTATGCCTGGAGTAATGCTCTCGTTGGAAAGATCAACTATCGAATTGAACCCCAGATAAACGGTGTCTTTCGCTTCCTTGCTCAAGACCGAAAGGGAAACACTACATGCACCAGAAGTAAGATTAATACTACGAGCGCTACCTCTATTCACTGCCTATGATGTCGCTCAGCAAAGCTTTTCAATGTATAGCGTCAAGTTAAGCACGACTTTATAAAGTTGCCAACTTGGTCTGTGTTCCTTTCAAGAAGAAAAGAGGTAAAAAAGAGGTAAAAAAGAATTTTTTTTCATTTTTACTCTAGTTTTGCGTCGCCAGTTGATCAACAAAGAGCCAAGGTTATTCACGTATAATTTATGATGAATTCACATTTTGTATCAGAGAGAATGAACTGGGCAACGTTAGGTTAGGTAGATACTTTGGTAGCATAAAATTGTATAGTGATGTCACATGCAGTACCTAGAAGAAGAAGCGTTCGTAACATGTAATGTTAGCCTTCTTTTGATGCTGGTCTGACGGCATAATAATCTTGCTTTTAATGCTGCTCAGAGTTAGGAAAGAATTATCATTGTCAATTTACGCATAGATTGTCTGAATTTCAATTTCATAAAGTACACAATTCAATTCTCAACAAACAGTTTAAGCAGTTACTTTTTGTATTCATGGATTCTGAATTAGTATCGACACTTGATTCAATGTAAAGACATACAAAATAGAGAGAGAGAGAGAGCATTATGTAACTTAGAATAAACAGATACAGCAAAGAAGGTGTGAAAGGAGTGTTAGTAGCTGACGAAAAAGGCTTTTGTTTAGGAGGTATATATTACATTTATCATTTACGACGAATACTAATGAAAAGCAAAAAGTAAGAGGGATAGCAAGCCCTGAATCAGCTGCATTCATTACAGCCATTGCAAATGCAGCCAACCATCTTGACGATTATTCAGACGACAAGGTAGAACATCCAACCATAAACGTGGAATATGAGGGAAGGTAAAGCCATTACACGTGTTTAATCCTACAGCTAACAACTGTATCATAGTCAAGTTGTGGTTCGAAATGAAGGATCGTTCACATTAGCCATTTTTATGTAAATTATGAATATAATACAAGGCTTTATTAAGTACATTTAAAATTCACTTTTAGTATACACACACACACACACATACGTCTTATTGAGCATCAGCAACAACACCAACTTGAGCAGGACGAATGATACGTCCCTTCAAGGTATAGCCCATCTTTTGAACAGAAAAGATCGTACCAGCTTCCTTACCAGGAACAGGAGCTTGGAATAAGGCTTGGTGCTGATTAGGGTCAAAGGCTTCACCTTCAGGGTTAACTCGTTCAACACCATGACGCTTCAATGCTTTGATAAGTTCAGCTTCAGTCATAGACACACCAGTGTAAAGATTAGTTAATTGATCAATGAGCTTTTCGCTATCCTTTGCAAATTCAGATTCTAAGGAAGTACTCTTGGAACGGAGTTCAGTGGGAACAGCGTTCAATGCCATATTTAAAATATCAACAGTGTCTAAAAGGTCCTTTGCAAATTTTTGAATAGCAAATTCTTTTGTTGTCTCGATTTCTCTGCGACTACGTTCTCTAAGGTTTTCTTGATCAGCAAGACAACGGAGGTATGCATCCTATACATGTTTAGTATTTTTTTTTTTTTCCACGCTTCATTTTCTTTATCTACCTGAAGTTCAGAGATCTTTTTGTCCTTTTCAGCCAAAAGCTTTTTAGCTTCTTCTGATAACTCTCCTTGTACCTTGGTCTCTTCTTCTTTAGGGACTTGGTCATTCTTTAATTCCTCGTTAGCTGTCTGTTCTGTTTTTCCTTGTCCATTTTCCGTAGCATAAGCACGGCGAGCTGTCATGGGGGCAGAAATAGCTAATCTTGCAGAAACAGTGCGCTTGACTGACAAAGCTGCAGCATTACGGAAAATAGAAGTGGAAAGCATATTGAAAGATCCAAGATTTAAAAAAGATGTATAAAAACAGGGTTCCTTGGTTGAAGTATTTCTTAGAATATATAAACCCCCAAGGCTCAGTGACTTGTTTCCGATGACTCCGATTATCCACTTAAAAAGACTCCCTTTATTTTAAGATTGCTTTGTATCCCAAAAAGACTCCAAAATACCATGGTCTCTGTTTTTTGCTTGAGATGAGTTCATCCGTAATATGACACATACATCTCACCCATATCTTGCTTCTTCTTATCCTGTTAATGCCCATTTTGATGCTTTCTTGTAATGGAACTTTATATAATCCTTTTGTAGTACTGCACTTGCCATTCGTCTTTCAATATCCGTTTCAATGGGGATCGGTAACCCGTTTTCATCACGATAAATAAATGGCAAGCGCAATACATAGGTGCCTCCAGGACCGAGATAGAGAGGATCACGGATACCAAGATCCACATGGATTGACTTGTCAGATCCAGGAATATTAATCTACAATATAAGCTTAGCTTTCCCCCTCTTATTGTTATCTACACAAGGCGCTTACCTTTATCTTGGGTTCTATAGAAATTGTAATATCCTCATCTGGAGTGACAACATATAATCGCATTAACTGAGCCGTAACTTCACTTGAACTGCTGATTGTAGCGCTACTGCCATTGCCATTGGGCGTGTAACAGCAGGGACAGAGGATAAAGACATTCAAATCCTGATGAACAAAATAGTTTCCATGCTCCTTTGGATGACCAGCATGTCCTATTTTACAAACCCTTCCTTCACCACAACTCAAGAAACGATGCCCCTGGGCACATTCATACTCCGCACCTATATAGCCTCGGATCAATCCTTGCAGTCTATCTCGCATTCTATTGTATCGTCTACGTCTACTACTGCCGCGACTATTGCTATTTTCTTTGGCTTCAAATAGTTGCTTTACAGGTATTTCAGGTGTAATAACAGGCGTAGAGGTGGGTGGAGGATTAGTGCCTAGTGCAGGAAATGCTTCAAGCGAAGCAGCGGTGGGTGCTGGTATAACTTTAGTCGTTTTTGAGGCTGCAGCAGGTGCCTTTCCTAGAACAGGCCACTCTTCTTGATTTGGGACAGGCTGTAGTACTGCCGTTATGGTTTCTTTAGCCTTTTTCTCGACTTGTTCCTGTTTATGAAGCTTCAAATCATTTACTGTTGTAATGGACCATGGGATAAGGTAATTGGTGTTGTTCAAAAACCCTTCTACATTATCCAATCCTACATTATTTTTGTATACAGTGGCAGGCCCAAGGAGGAGTAACGCAGAGTCATCGGCAGGTACATCATCGTATCTTAATTCAAGATGCTGATTATCTCCAAAAACAGATGCCTTCATATCTAACGCTGCTCGGTCTTTTCCTAAACAGCAAGTAAACCGTTGATAAAACTTAACATTTGCGTCCTAATTAAAAGGTTAGCGCATACGCTTGTCTTTTAGCAGATATTACCATAATATCAAAAGGATCATCTCGTAACTTTTGAGTTCTTCCACAGTTGCACGCGTGAAAAAACGTAACACCACTACTGTGCTTGCCTGAATCAGCCAGAATAGCTCGATCATCTCTCTTTTGTGACTGAGATGAGATAGATTCATGTCCAGTCTATATAAAATCGTATTTAATCTCTTTTTTTTCTTCTTTTTGGTGGAAGTTCTTACTTTTAAGCGGCAAGATCTTCCTGTTAAGCTAAGATGCTCACAACTTTGACGATTCTCTTTCCAAACCAAATCACACTCGCGCTCAAGTCGACTGGCATACTCTTCTTTACAAGGGCCACGCGCTAAGGACGCATATAACCGAAGTGCATGATCACGCTACAAAAACAAAAGTTCAAAAAGAACACATGTATATAGAGAGAGAGCTCTTACCTTCCACACATGATATTTTTCAGGATAAAAAGGCGGAGAGTCTTGCAGGTACGCTTCTTGACAATGTTGCATGACGTTGTAACAATAATTTTTAGAAAACACGCGTTCGATTTCGATGTTGTCCTTAATCTTCTTTCTCAAAATAACTTCAATTTGTTGAATCATGCCCTTCGTGCTTGAATAGTGAGAAATAATGATGTCTCTAAAATTTTCATTGTTTTCTCGCATTGGCTGATTAAATAAAAAGTGAAGTAAAGGCACTACAGAGGACGCAAACTGAATCGGTGTTGGTAAGGGTACATATTTGGCATCATTCATCTTTCTGTGAAGTGGATGTCTGTTCACGGCTGTCTTTGTCCAAATGGTAACAAAGTTTCGTAAAAGTTTGTCTCCATACTCATCATTCAGATTTCCCGGTTCGCTTATAGAGAGCTGTTCCAAGTAACTGGATATCGGCAGTGGCTCATCAAGTGTATACTCTGTCTCAACTGAAGGTTTGGGCATTGAAGGTATAATATGGATAATGGGTTGTGAAGTGGAAGGTAAAAGGAAGAGTGACTTGACATCTACAGGAGCATGAGATGAGTTACCTGGCTCTTGCCTGGAAGGTATAAGATGAGTCGCTCGAAATATATTCTTGATCCTTTGTTGTAAGGCTTCTTGCATCTTTTTGATGGTTGCTGGAGTGGTTTCTGGTAGTAATACCTACAAGAGCAACTTCAATACAAAATCTATGTGCGCGCCTATATCACTTACATCAGAAGCAACAAATACCAGCATCGGGACACCTTTGGCAGGCCCCCACCATCCTAAAAAACTTGGACTGATACGATCAAATTCCTTTTTTTCGAATAGTGCATAAGGTACTGAAATATCCCAGTATTTCCAACAACACGATTGAAATTGAGCCAAGTGAGTGTACATGTTTAGTTTTGTCTGTGATAAGGTGACAAGTGTAGATAGAAAGTCTGTTGGTAGTAAAGAGGGCGGTAATATAGGCTATCCTGTAATGTCAGTTGTGGTCTATTGCTTTCATAAAAGACTTACAATCACCAAGTGAGACACGGTCATCATGAACAATAAACTCCTCATATTGATAGACTGATAATCCATAGCTGTACGCTATATTTAACTGCTAAGTATATCATGCCATGTATTATTAAGCACGCTTCTAATAACCTCACGTTGGCTTCCAAGTATGCTTGTGTCTATAGTAGAATCTAAAAACAAATAGACCGTGTTTGCTTTCAAGTCAACATATAACTGGAGTCCTCCTTTTACAAGCTACAAATGAATATAATGAGCAAAGGTAATCTTAAAAGACGTCCTTTTTTTTTTACTTCAATGGTTCCTTCCTTTATAGGTTCCTTTCGATGACTAAAGATAGCACTTCCAACGATTCGATTAGCCAAGATGGCAGGACTTGCTTGTGTTGTATTATCCGATACTCCAAATATAGATATTATAGCAAGTCCAGAGCTTTGAATAGAAGAAAGGCCCGTCTGCTCCAAAAGTGTATTGATGTCATCCATTCATAAATCAAATTAAAGAAAAAAAAAAGAAGCTTTATTATGATTATTTTTCCATTAGACATTTAAGGTCAGTTAGTCTTTGGCGCAACCCTTCTCTTTCATTTTCACTTTCAGCATATTTGACCTTGATTTCAATAATCATATTTTCCATATACGCCAGCTGATCCTCCAGTGCAGAATTTCGCTCGACGAGAGCAGCATTCTTTGTGTACAAGATTTCCATTTCTTCCTTTATCCTTGCCTCTACTTCTCCGGGAAGAGTCTCGAGCTTCTTTTTCAAGTCGTGTGTCTGTTGACGAAGGTGCTCGTTTTCATCATGGATACGAGCGATATCCATCTTGGCTGAAATCAGTTCCGCAGCTAATGTAGTATGATCTTTATTGAGCTCGGTGTAATCATGGTCCATCTGTCGAATAGATTCTTGCAATTGTTTGTTTTGTCGCTTCAATGATTCTATAATCTCTGCTTCATTATTGGCCTTGGATGATTCGATTTGAAAGTCCTTGGCTAAGCGATCGAGTCGTTTGGTTGTAATTTGGATTTGACAGGCATCATGTAACAGTTGGTCAGCGTCATTCTAATAGGCAAGGGTTAATATGCATAAAACGATGCGTATGTTTATATATACCTGGTATACTTGAAGTAGATTATTCTTTAAGAAGCCAACCAGGTCATCGTATTCAAGACTTAGTAAGATGGATTGATTCTTTTCCAATAAGGCTAAAGAAAAACGGAACAAAGTCTCCATTCCTTCAGCAAATATCATGTCATAGATTCGATACACAGTGTCAATTGGAAACCTGTAAGCAAATAGTGTACTAAACCATTGATAAGCATATATATTTGATTTGATCCCGTGCGCTTCAAAATGTCGCTGTAGATGAGGTAAATGATCACTTATTAATCCACTCAACTGATAAAGTCGTTTGGATAATAAATCTGACTGAGGTAAAAAGTGGCCCCTAAGTCCATATTTATTCATGAGCTGCACTAGCACACAAAAGGCTTCTTCTTCTGGCATCTATAAAGAACACATGAGTATGAATTCATACCATCATTTTTGAAACACATACATTAAGTAACAGAGGAGCTGTGATATAAACCAAGTGTTGACTATATCCAACGTCTTTATCATATAAAGAATAAGCTTTCATGATATTAAATATAGCCTCTTTTTGATGTTCTTCTTTTAGCATCGACAGTTTAGGTAAGTCACGGGTGATGGCTTTTTCATACACTGACTCTTCTTTCAGCAGCTGCATATATTGATCTTCTAATTTGACATTTTTGCTCTTTGAAAACAGCTGCCATACCATTCCTCGTAATGATGGGGGAATGCCTTTCTGGATCTGGTACGATAGTACCTTTGCTTCTGACTTACTTACGCTATTAAAGTCCGAAATTACCTTGGACCAAAATTCTAGAGTTTGCGTATATTAATGCACAATACACAAACGTTATTAGACTTGTACCACTTACCCCAGTCAATATCCTCTGCACTTGGACCATCTTTCTCTACAGAATTTCTTAGCTCTTCTAGACTATCATTGCTGCTGATATGTGTAGAACTGTTGTTATTGTTATCTAATCTTGCCAATAACAGATCATAGTTGGAAGCGCTTGACATGTAAGAATGAATGGATGACATCGTCGATCGATGACTCTCATATCTTGTATGATGTTTTGTGCCTTCTATACTGTTCTCTGAGTCCGAATATTCATCTTGGTGACCATGCTCCATCATTTGATGTAACCCGTCAACGAGCTCTTTGGTATTATTATCTCCTATCGTCTCTGCCGTCACTGGCTCCTCTTTGATCGTCTCCTGCTCCTTCTTCTTTTCTTCCTCCTTATGTGGTATATAATGATTATTCTCTGTTATCGTTGCTGATCGATTACGTCTCGTCGTCTTTGTTTCCATGGTATCGTTTTCTTGATGCGTGGCAATGGTATCTAGGGAACTACTTTCGGCGTCTGAGTAGCATTTGTCTTCAATGGAAGAAGCGCCTATCGTGATGGATGATTCATTATTGAGCTCTTTGCTTATAAAATGATTGTTATCATTCATTTCTGTTGCTGTCATGAGGGAAAAAAAAGAAAGAAAGAAAGAAAGAAAGAGAAAAAGAGAAAGGATGTAAACGAAAACAAGAATAAAAAAGGGTACTAAAAAAAGGGGGAATATATAGTTGATCCATTTACTGAGTTTCAATACAGTTCGTCTTTGGTAAAGTCACAACGATCAAGTTTTTTTTTTTCTTTTTCCTTGTTATGCATTTACACCATGTCAAATAAAGAAAAACAAAATTTGAATGAATTGATCAAGAAATATGACAACTTTATAAACATAACATTGAGGCCTTCTCTAAAAAAAGAACTTGATGAAAGAGACCACATATTCAATACAATATCAGAATAGTAAGCTTGCCGTAGAAGGAACGTATTAGACTCTAACTATGCAAAAGTCAAAAACTGTATTCACAAATAGAATTAATACAAGAGAATAAACTAAAAGAGCTGAAAACAATGGTAGATCTTGGATCGCAATTTTATGCACAAGCTCATATGTAAGACGACTTTATTATTATATGAACAAGTATTCATTGATGATAGACCGGATACAACTTATATCTATGTTCATGCTGGATTCGGGTTTCATGTTCAGTTTACTTTGGATGAAGCAAAGACGTTTATCAAGAAGAAGGAACATCAATTACAAAAGTAACAAGATAGGTTAAAAAGGGTTCAACATATTAAGCAGTGTTTATAGATTAGCTGATAAACATACACAAGAGGCAGATAAAATTAAAGCGCATATCAAAATGGTAAATTTACTATACATAATTCACATGTATATCTTACTTTTCTTTTATAAAAGGCACTGGAGGCTATTTCAGAGATATTGGTGACTAGCAGCTAACCATTGAATGATTCTAAAGTTTAATGATTTTGGATCACTCACACATCTTGTAACTTTTTTTATTTACATAAAGATATTTATATATTTGGGCATATTTTGTTTCTAGTCTTATCTGACAACATGTATCTCATTTGATGTAAACAATAATTCTTTATAAAGAAAAAGAGGAAAAGGGCCAACACGCGCTTGGAAGAACTGTCCATCAAGATATGTATTTGATTCTTTATTTTACAATATAAATAACAAAAAGAAATGAATGCGAGTTGATCATGACTATATAACGCCTTCATTATATGGCCTATTATTCGTGTTATGTTGAGGAGGAAGTGGTGGTGGTGTGGGAGTAGGTATCTGCTGAGGCTGTGGAGCAGGACTGTTTGTACGGTTTTGCCAGTTGCTAGCGTTATTTAGCTCATAAGAATCATGCTGTCGTGGATCATGCTGTGAATAGGCCGGAAGAGGTGGCTGTACATTGTTACCCTGTCCATTATAGAGCGCAGGATCGACCCATCCAGACTGAGGAGGTGTATAGTAAGGTGGTTGATTACCCATGGGTGGTGGAGGAGGAGGATAATAGGGCGGCTGAGTAGCATATTGAGGTTGAGCTTGAGTAATGACATACGAGCTTCCAAGGTTATTATATCCATTGCCTCGTGGATTACAGCAGCAACAAAATAAACAGGACAAGAGCAAAATACCAGCGACGATGGCAACAGGAATAACGATTTGTTTGTGATTATCGATCCAACTTTTCACGTTATTTCCTATAAAGGGTCATTGAATAAATGGGATATGTGTTATATTCAAATGACTTACCAAAGTTATCCAGATTACATTTACCAGATTTACAGATGCCACCAATGCCACATGGCGTACCGTCTAAAAAGTATCCTGGGAATTCAATACACATCATAGATGACGTGGGATGTTGACAGGTGACTTGACATCCATCATAACTTCCACATGCTTTCTTGATATTACTGGTTGTTCCACGAGCAAGACATTGTGCATCTCGAGAGGTACATTGACCTGAAGCGCATTGCATGCCATTTCCACAGTTTGTTAAATCATTCTTGTAAGAATCTGGTGGGCAGTTGCCAGAGGTACCAGAGCATACTTCTGCTATATCACATTCTGTTGAAGCGGGTCGACAAGTATAGTTTGCTGGTCTAAACTGGCAATTATTACAGCAAAGGTCGTTGAAATCACTAGACAGAATATATATAAGTATCCATCGATAAACAGGGTGTTGGGGGTACTTACTCGCATACTGCATTAGGCTTAAATTTACATGTTGCAGGATCACAACAATTACTAGGTTGACCACCTGTATCACAGTCTTCTCCGTCTTCTTTGATGCCATTACCACACATCTTCAATGTCGTGACATTCTTAGAGCCAGGATCTAAATTTTTGTTAGTAAGAGTGTATACCCACGCTAAAAGATCAAACCTAATAAACAGCTTTGGAAAGTAGGCACGTTTTTGCAAATAGTTGATATACTACAAGGACTAAATTCAGAGGAAGATGCATTGCTTGTAGGATTCATAAAGTATCTGCCGCCAGCGTCACATTGAGTTGAACTATAGGGACAGCAATTACAACTAGCGCCTCCTGCGCATGGGCAGGATTGTGCATTACAATCATGGATAGCACCTAGGGTAATAAGTTAGTGACAGGTCATTAACAGGAACCTTTTTATTTATACCAAAGCCATGTCCAATCTCATGAGCAACAACTTTCCATTCATCCGTAACTATATTCAGAATTAGTAAAACAATGAGACTAAATAATACAATAAGAAGCCAACTTACTAACAGAAGAAACACCTGTACCAGATGTATAACCATCAGTTGATGATACAGCTTTTGTATTGCATACTTGAGACATCCATGCGATACCAACTTCTGGACCAGTTCTATATACATGTGTGTTATTAGACTATAGCCATTTTTAAAATATTATTCTTTCTTACGCGCAAGTTGTCATTAGATGCCATAGACCAGCACCGTCATTGCCAATAGATCCTCTCCATCTACTGAAATCACTCAGCCTTTGTGAAATCGAATAGGCCGTTGAACAAGCCTGGTTCCAAGCAGCTAAACTTGAAGCAGTCGCAGGACAATTAGAATCCATGATGGTGATATTGATTAAACCAATTCCAATATTGAATGCATTTGTATAAGCCATACTGACAGAGTTCCAATCATTAATGATTTGCATACGAGCACCATCGGTTGACTTGTAGAATTTGGTATAGGTACAATCGGCTGCCACTCCCATATAAAGCACTAGACAAAAAGTTTATTACTTTCTGTGTTTTTTCCCAAATATGGTCTTACTCTTTTTAGTAGCAGGGCAGCCCTCAGGAGCACGCTTTGAAAGGGTATTGACAAAGGGTCGAGTGTGTCTAACGCTGTAAGGGTCATTAAATTCTAAGGGGTTAAAATCGATCTTTTGACCTAGTCTATCGGTATGGACCAAATTGTCAAACCCACATCCATTTGTACTTTGGCTGATGGGCTGGTTCTTGATGACCATGTCTGAATCGCGGTAAATTACCATGTGTGTGTTTGGTATCTCTTTCACATCTGCATCGTCTGATCGCTTTGTACGGCGATAGGTGTCCTTTAACTTGATATGATGGATATTGCCATGAACGGTAAAGGTTCCTTCAAACAGAGGATGGTCTAGGTTGTGCCTAAAGACAACACATGTTAAATATGCAAATGATTGAATCAAGATTATTAGTTTTTACTTGATATCATTGCGGATGATTATCCTAGCCCAGCCGATGATTCCGGGCTGATTTTCTAATGCATCAAAATCTTTCGGATTAGAAATCCACCAATGTTCAGAATAAAGATGTTCAATGGCATAGCCTTTATATACACGGAAATCCGACGGACGAAGAGGATTCGACTGTCCGTTCTGGTGGAACACAGCATCAGGGTGGAACAATTCATGATTGGGTGTCAAGTGTAAATAGATGGTTTGATTGAAAGCGTCTATGGTTAATCGAAGAGTATCATCATATTCTATAGCATGAGCACGTGGTACATAATGGTTGTTGGGTGATATATCTCTTTTTACAAAAAAATTCTCTGAGCGAGGCGCTATATCTACTTTAGCAGTTGATATTGGCTCAATTCGCAATAGTCTTTTGTTGTCTATGCTATAACCTATGTACACATATGCAATGGATTATGAATATATTCCTATATACAGATCATATAAACCTACATTCTATAGTTGAGAACAGTAATACTAAACATAGCAGTATTTTAATAAGCATCGAGACAAGAAGTAAAAGAAGAAGAAAAGAAAGCCCAGAAATTTATAGGAAAAAAAAGTTATTTATAGCCAACTCCGGTAAACTCAGGAACCCGGTGATGACTTTGTTCTTTTTTCTTAGAAATCATTGTACAAGATTTTAAAGAATATTTAGTATGGATTGTACTCTCACATTACCTAAGCTACGCTATTCTGCTCAAAGCCGAGCTGCTTCATGATCTTCTCCTGTTACTGCCATAAGATCCATTACCTTTAGTCATTTATGACGGCGGATATAATCTACCGAAATTTCCGCTGTTCGTAGTTCTTGGTAAATGTAGCCTATCTTGAATACCATTCAAACAAGTCTTGGAAAGCGTAAAGTGAATTTTGAAATGATCGGATATCATACATCTCAACTTTACTCATGATCTCAAAACTGGGTGTTTTCGGCCGTTATTTTTTAGTATCGTAATGGAACTATTTATCTGTGTTGCTGTATTATTGATTGTATGCGGAGTGGGCTAATGTTACGGGCACTATCCTGTGAACTTTTCAATGTGTGGCGTCACACTAAACTTGCTCAGAAACCGATATCTTTTCATATTCTTTCATGTAGAATACACATAAAGTATCCATCTTGTTTGTTTCTTTTCAAGAAGAAATAAAAAATGCTTTTATTGCTGTATCTTAGTTATATGTTGTCAGTTCTATCCACAAAGAGCCAAGTGTAATTATGATATAACCCTATACTCTTGTCTTAGATTTAAATATAAAGCAATGCATGTAAATAATCATCACATTTGATTAAGAAGAAAAAAAAGGAGATAAAGACTTTAGCTTTCTAAAGTAATTCTGCTATTCCCCTGGTAAAGACGTCGTTACACCTGCTCTAACTTTTTTAGGGCTGACGAAAAAGATGTAAACAGCTGTGTTGATACAATGAGCAATGCCATATGCACTCGCTTCATTTCCTTTAAAGATAGGCTGTCTCTTATAAATTTGGCATGAGATACATGCTGGATTACTTTCAAAAGAGATTATGAATGGGTTATTCTTGTTCATTGCCATGGTTACACAATCAAGCCATATTTTACACAGAACGACTTGTTTCCATCGTGGCTTGCTCTATTTATATCTTTGGGCTGTGGTCAAAGGATGAAATTTCATTATTTATTAGCTGAAGTAGCGATAAAGCCACTATTGTCCCTTCAAAACATTTTTTGTATATATGAAGACTATTTTCACATAAAGCGATTATTCTTTGACTTCGATCAAAGCGGCATATTTCCTTACATGGTAAGAGCTTACGTAGCATATTGACGTACAGTAGCATGGCTTTGCAGTCTTGGCGTTATGTTTGAATGAGAAATATCAGAATTCTATCGATTTGAAACATTAGTAATCGAAGTTGAGAATGTAGGATTGTCTTTCATATGAGTGTAAAGAGTCCCACACTATCGTCCACGACGTGAGAGTCTAATCAACGGACCACTAACTGTCTTTTTGTTTCAGGGAGTCTATGGAAAACTTTGAGCAAAGTCTTGTGGCATTCAATTTCAGTATTGTTAAACTAGCTCAACATACATTCCTAGTTGTAAAAGCTGTTATTTCTGTGCGGATATCTCTGGTGTGGCTATATATATCTACCAAACCGTATGTTGCTAGTTCATTAGCAAGTGGCCCTTTGGCAATTTATGCCATCGTCCATATACTTGTTTTCAGTTTTGGTTACCGACTCCTTCTCAATTTCTACGCAACCAAACTCATAATTTTCATACTTGTAGATCACACCAATTCTGTGGCCCATAATTCTGTAGGCACGTTTGTCGGTTGTTATTAGGGCTTTGTTTATGCTCTGTCTAGTTGTGGACGCATTACCAAACTTCTCGTCAGCCTTGGCCTTAATTTGGCATCCATCAACGATATAATAAGTTGAATTCCAAATCGGTGATGGGTGCATTGACATGTTTGGTGAGATAATCATTATAATAACTCGAATATAATCTTACAGTAGAGCATGCATTCTACTTTACATTCCTCTATCGCATCTGCTGAGAGTAAGTTTGTGTGAGAGTTTTATAGGGAATACTAATATCGCCAGTATGATAAATGTGGTCGATGTGATTATTTATCAATGCTATGTAGCTATTATTGTTGTAAATACTCTTAATTTACTAATATACAGCTCTTAATAAAGAATCCAATTCGTAACGGATAAAATTTACCAGTCGCACTCTTTCTATTTAAAAGCAAATGAAGCCAATTGACTATTTACTGTTTTACAATTATACACGCAAAAATATAAGTGATGCAGTTTTATATTGCAAAGCAATTGCAGATGTACGTTGAAGTAAATGCAAGAAATACAACCTGCTAATATTGGCAATAATTAGCGCGATTATGTCCAATACATCAATTTCAAGGATGAAAATGCATTGTAATTGATGATTAAGGACATAGCCGATCAAGCCATCATGACAAAGCTAAAATAAACCAACGCTCGGAAATGAGTTTCATAAATAAATATTTAATGTCAGCCATCAAAAGGATTCTCCTTGAGGAATTAGTTTATTCTGTAAAAACATACACCCTATATCTTTGTTTATTTTTATACTGGTGACCTTGTTATTGCCATAAATAGGGTTGATGGGATCAATAGCAACTGGAAGAAGCCGGATTTCATGCTTGCTTTCAATAAAAAGAAGGACATCTACCTCTTTCTTGTCGAGGTCAAAAGACCAAATATAAAAAGTAGCTACCAAAAGAAGACGACATGATAAAGCTCTTGAAATAGCTCAAGACATCAATGGACAAGCAGTTTCTTTTGGAGTTGAGGGATCCCACATCTCTTGGCTTGCTGGTGGAGAGTATATTTTAATCGTAAATGCGAAAAAATAGCAATTAACAACATTGATAATTTAATAGGGTTTAAGTGCTTCCTGTACTAAATGACGCTAGTTGTCGATAGTGTATATATGTCGTTGCTGGTGAAGCGGTTTTCTTTGGTTGAAGAAGTACACGAAATGGTTCTTCTACCATCAATTGTGGAATCCTTGATGTTCGTGAAGGTATGATTATAAGCAAACTAGCTCCAACAACAATACGTTAACATACTTTATAGAATGTGCTTAGCACAGCCGCGAATAGACGAGAAGAAAAGAAGACGAGGAAAGAGAAGAAGGCAGCCAGGGAGCGTGTAAGACCTTCCTTCCTAAAAAAATAATAATAATCTTGTATAAAGAGTAAAATTTCTTGTTCGAAGTTTTTGATCCCAAAATAGGTGTAATTTTGAGCTCTATTAGTTACGTAAAGTATATAAGAGTAAGACTAAAGACGAAATATAATTTTATCGAGTTCAAATTGAGGATTTTATATCTAAGCTAAAGAAGACATTTTAAATTTTCAAGTATATAAGTCATCAAGGTTATCAAAGTGTATATATGTCAAATGTAAGGATTCGTATAATATAATTATCAAAAGAAGCAAAATACAATAGGTTCAGAATATAAGAATTGAATAAAAATAAACACTAGTGTAAAGCCTGTGCGTAAGAATACCATGCAGATAAAAACAAGTAATACTATTGATGCTTATAGCTTATCCGTATGTTAGGAATCGGCTAGTTGATTTGTGTTTGTAGTTATCGTACGAAAGGGCAAGGACGTAGCTTGAATCAATAAAAAAAAAAAGATGCTTGTGCCAATAGCCAAGTAATTTACAGCAGAACTTTAATCAAGAAAGATGCCAAAGCCTTGTAAACAACAAAAGGAAGTGCAAATACACGTAGCGTACTTTGAGTGCCAGCACTCCAAGAG